TTTTATATGAATTCATTAAAAAGATTTTGTAGATGACAGGTAAATATTACACTAAGTGTCGTTTTACAAAATATTTTTAATGAGTTCATTAAGATCGAAGTAACCATCATTTTACAAGCACTTTTCAATTGAATCCATAAAAATTAAATTAATTATTGTTTAACAAGGTGTTTTTGACGAGTTCAACTAAAAATTACAAATTTATTGTATCAGCGGTTCTCATTTTTTTTTCCTTGTTTGATTGCATTTACGAATATCTGACAAATATAAATCATAGACTGTTTGATAGAAGAAAAAATTTCCTATCAATTGATAAAAAAATATGTTTTTCAAGGTTTATTTATCGAAGAAATAGAAGAATCAACATTTTGTACCATTTTTCTGAATCTTACAAAAAGTGCGGCTTTTTTTCAAGGATACTTCTCTTTTCTACTATGTTGTTTCATTGATGAACGTGTTATAAAAATAAGTTATATATAATTCGAAAGAAGAGAAAAAACTCTATTTTCTAGTTTAAAAAAAAACATGTCATTTCAGTACCCTTCTATCGAAGAGGAATAGTGGTCGATATTTATGCAATTACTTTGGCATTACACATTATTTGTATCCACATATAGCAATATCTTTTTTACATTGATAGAAAATTCGAATATATTGCAGTGATTAAGTTTTTAGCAATGAAAGATTCATCCTCATTCAATATTCACGAACGTATGCTGGTAGTTTATGATAACTGACACTCCATTAACTACTATAGTTTCTGAAAAGAATTGCACTTTCAAAGATGGACAATTGAATATTGGCGATGGTCCGTCTAGACGAACTTCTTTTCGTCTGCGCAGGAGATACTTGAGAATCTTGATCAAGAAAGTTATGCACTATGGACAACTCTTGAGGCCATACTTGAGATCTTTCGGCGAGCTCAAACTCTTAAAATTCTTGTTCTATCGCTTGATATTCTTGCTCATGCGCTTGAATTCTTATGCAAGCGTTTTTGTTATTCAAGATTTTTTTATATTTTTTTTTTTTTGCAATTTTACGTTCAAAATAACACAAATTTTAATAAAAATTCATAGGTGTATTTTCATGCAACACTCAAGCACTTGTCTTGAGCAAGAAAGTCATGCGCTATGGACAAAACTTGAGGTCTGCGCAGGTCAAGTGCATAAAAAAAAAAGTTCGCCTAGGGCCTTGATATAGACGACATGAATATCATTACAATTAGAAGTTAAGTCAGCGACAAGACTCAAGCCGCAATTTAGCAAGTAGCGAACACATTTAACATTTGAAATACTTCATGCATCCCCATTTTATATGATCGATGACATACGATTAAAATCTTTAAAACAACAAGCCCACTCAAACATCATCATGGATGAGAATTCAGTATCTAAAACACAAGATTTTACTTGAGCTTTTCGTTTTCTATCAGTGTATATTACTACATCTGGACATAAATTCGTAATTGATTCGAGTTCATGACATTTATAGGTCAAAGGCTATATATGAACTATACACAGACAAGAATGCTATTTCAGTAGCGCTTCTTGTGATTTTTAAATAACATTAATCTTGAAACTTTTAGAACGATTTTCGTCTATTGAATTTTTGTTTCTCTATCTAGCAACAAAACAAATTGAATCAAGACATGAAGATACAACAAAAAATAAAAAATCTAAATCAAATTCTACTCAAGTAGATCTTAATAATTCTTTTTTTGTCAAAAATTAATAAGCATATATATATATATTTATCAGGCTTCATCACTAGTATCAAAACAAACAAGTTCAAAAACAATATCTACGAATGAAACAAGTTTGTATTAAATCAATAATAATTATTATTTAAAGAAAAATCTCGAAATTCTTTCTTTAGAACCAACTGATCTTCATTTAATCAATTCAGATAATGATGCTGATAATGATACATTGGTGAGACAAATATTGAAAAAAAAAAGAAAATAAAAGTTTTCTTTTTGAATTAATTGATTATTTTTTTTTTTTTTCATTTTTCAGGAAGAAAATATTACAAAAAAACCAACTTATGGTAAATAAAATCTTTTACTCATTCAAAAAACAAAGCTAACAATAAAAATACTTTCTTTTTTTTTTTCTAAAAATAAAGGTCCACCTCAATTATCGATGATTGGACGTTCGGATTCAGAGTCTGTGTGTGATGAATTATTAAATACTATTAAACAAGACAATGAAAAAGTTTCAACAGAACTTATTAAAAAATCTGATTCATTATCAGAAAAAAAAGATGAAAATGAAGATGAAGAAAGTAATGATACTAGAAGTTTTATGAGTTTTCTTCAACTTTTACAATCTATGTCTGGTGGTGCTATTTCTCTTGCATCAACAAATGATGATGGAGATGAAGTTCAAAATTTACTTGCTCGACTTGGAATTGTTCCTCGTAAGTTTTTATATAATTATATTTTGTTTTTTTCTTTTGCAAATTTATTTTATTGATAAAATGTATATTATAGAAACAAATGTACGAAAAAAAATTATTCATTCAATACCTCGTCAACTTGGAAATGTTGAAAATTTTCTTCTTGTTTATTTGGATTTATCAATACCTGATGATTCATTATTAATTAAATTTCGTAGTCTTATTAATTATTTAAAAATATTTGATGATGTTGATGATTGTATTGCATTTATAAATAATATTTCGAATGAAAAAATTATTTTTATTGTTAGTGATGCATTAGGAGATCCTATTGTATCACGAATACAAGATCTTCAACAATTATTCGCTATTTATGTTTTATGTCAAACAACAAAACAAATTGATAATTGGTCAACAAATCAACCAAAAATTCGTGGAATTTATATAGATATCAATGATATACTTGAAGAAATAAAAATTGATATTGAAAATGATGAAGAAAATTCATTACCATTTACATATACATTAACAACAGCAAATACAAAAAGTGAACCATCATTTTTAAGAAATCAAATAATAAAAGAAATTTTACTTGATTCTAATGATATGAATGAAGCAAAAAATGAATTAATTGATTTTTGTCGAGCTGAATATATTGATAATAAAGAACAATTAATATATATTGAACAATTTGAAAATGAATATCGAAAAGAAAATATTCTCGAATTTTTTCGAAAAGAAAAATTTTTATATAAAGTTAGTTAAATATTTTTTTATTGAAAAAAAAAAACAAAAAAATTTCTTTGTATTTAGATGTTAAATAAAGGTTTTCGAATACCTGAAATTGATATATTATTTAAACTTCGTTTATTTATTCAAAATCTTCATAATTTAATTATATCATCATCAACTAATTCATCAATTAAAACACTTTATCGATCACAATATTTAACAAATGATGAATTTGATACATTAAAAACATGTGTTAATAATGGTTTAATTGCATTTTCAAATTTTTTTATTGCATCTATTGATTATCCTGAACAAAAATTAATATCATCATCTAGAAATAATCAACAAGAAGATAAAAAAGAAATTATTTTTCAAATAGATGTATCAAATAGTAATCATTTTATGTCTATTGATAATCAAATATTAGTTACATTTGGTCTTGTTACAAGAATTAAACATATTGAAAAAGATAAGAATGGAAAAACTTTAATACATTTAAAAACTATTAGTAATGATGATTGTCAATTAGAACATATTATTGAATCAATAAGAAAAGAAACTCGTGCTTCTTATCCAGCACTTCGTGTTGTTAAATTATTTATGGAACTTGAACAATATTCACAAGCTATTCAACTTGGACAAGCTTTATTAGCTGATTTATCTAATGCTCGAAGAGATCCACTTTTAGCTTTAGCACGTATTTATCATTCATTAGGTACAACTTTATATGAAAAAGAAGAATATGATCAAGCATTAGATGTTATTAAAAAATCTCATGAACTTTATGTACGTTTTTTACCTGAAGATGCTCCACAATTATCTCCAACATGGAATAATATGGGTTCAATTTATTTACGACAAGGTAAAATAGATCAAGCATTAGAATATCATGAAAAAGCTTTAGCTATTCAATTAAAATCACCAAGTCCAGATCTTCCATCAATAATATCTTATTCAAATAATATTGGTGGAGTTTATTTAAAATTAGAACGTTATGATGAAGCACTTGTACATTTTAAACGTGCTTTACAAATTGAAGAACAAACACTACCAGACCATCATCCTGAATTAGCTGCAACATATCATCGTATTGGTGGAGTCTATTTTCGTCAAAATAATTATGAAAAAGCACTTGAATATTATGATAAAACATTAGAGATTGAACTTACTTCTTTACCTGATACTCATCCAACTGTTGCTGTTACATATCATAATCGTGGTACAGCATTTGAAGGTTTAGGAAAATTAGAAGAAGCAGTTGAAAGTGCAGAAAAAGCTGTTGAACGTTTACTTAAAACATTACCAAAACAACATCCACAAGTACGAATGAATCAAGCTTATGTTGATAGACTTAAACAAAAATTATGGGTTAAACAACTTTTCACTTCTTAATTAGCATTTTTTTAACCAATAAAAATTTAATTTTTATTGGTGATAAACGATTTTATTTTTTTTTCATCATTTTGCTTTGTTTTTGTGTTTCACGTTAATGGAATGGATTTTAAAATAATAGGACTTCATTATTTGATGCATTTCTTTGATTTTTTTTTTCTACATTATTCGTTCAACAATGTCTTCAAAGTGATGATAACAATTTCGAAATGAGGACATACATTTCGTCGTACTTTACACTTAAAAATAGTTTCGACCTTGTTTAGTTGTATTGGAGTTCAAAAATCCAAGTGTATCTACTGTAAAGTGACTTTTCGGACACCTTGTTATATATTCATATATGAGACGTTTAACATATTTATAAAAAAAAAATGAAAATGCATTTAAAAAGTAAAAAACATAAACAAAGGTTCAAAACTATTGAAGAAAAAATTTTTAATGTTTTAGCAAATAATAAAATAGTAGTACATAACTCAATATTAAATCTGTAACCAGAGTGCCGGTACATCAGGTGGAGTCCAATCTGCTTGTGAACGATGAGGTTGTCGACATTGATATTTTCTACCTTGATACATCACTAAATCATTCACTGAATATGAATAACCAACTTGCCATTGAGAAACATTGCCTTGATTTGATGGTTGCGTTGTTGCTGTTACACTTTCAATGATAGTAGGATTAGTCGATGGAGATGAAATCGGTAACCAGAGTGCTAGTACATCGGGTGGAATCCAATCTAATTGTGAACGATGACCTTGTCGACATTTATATATTTTACCTTGATACATTACTAGGTCATTAACTGAATATGCATAATTAGTTTGCCATTGACGGATAATACCTTGAGTTGACGATTGTGTTGTTGTCTTAACATTATTAATGGTAGTAGGACTATTCGATGATGATGCACTAGCTGTTGTTGATGATGGTTCAACACCATTATTTAGTGCATTATATGTTAAGCCGATTAGTTCAGCTTGACGATCACTACTTAATTCCCAGAAAAATCCACCACCTAAATTATTTTGTTTAATATAATTATTTTTGATATCAATTGATTGAACATCATTATAAGTAATCCAAAGACCAGTAGATGGATTGAATAGAAATGGTACTTTCGATTGATCATCCCAATATCGTTGATTCGATGAAATATAAGATCTTTTCAAATCATCATAATCATAGACACCATTTTCCCAAGTACCACGTGGAAGTTGGCTTGATGCTGTTTGAGAAAATCCATTAAGAGCTGTGCTTGTTACTCCTAAAATTAATCATTTTATTATGAAAAAAGAAAATTTTCTAAAATTCAACCTTTCCAACCACGTCCATACAAAGGTAAACCCATCAGAATTTTCGTAGAAGGTACTCCAGCTCTAATATAAGCTTGAATTGCTGCATCACAATTATATCTTGATTTGATATATGATGGAGCAACATCACTTGTTGTTTCATCATTATTTTTATATAATGGAGCATTATGACCTGTTTTTGTTTCCCAACCACCTAAAAAAATTCATCTCATATTGTAAAAATAAATCACCAAAAAAAGATTTTATTTAGAGAAGACTAACCATGAAAATCATAAGTCATAACATTAAACCAATCAAGATATGCAAGCATACCAAGTAAATCCATATCACCAATACGTTCAGTACCTGCTCCAGTTCTATAAAAAATAATAAAAAAAAATTTACAAATGACTACTTAAGATCTCTTTTTCTACTTACGCTACAGTTAACAAATATTTCTTATTAGGTACAGCATCCAACTGACGACGAATTTCTTTTAATAAAAGAACATAATTTTGTTTATCTTCTGGACGCTGAATATTGCCTGACAAACCACCAGAAACAGGATATTCCCTATATTTATAATATATTATTTTTTTCTACAAATCTTTTTTCATAAATATATCATTAAAATTCTTATTAACTTTTATAATTCTTCTATTTCAATGATTTATTAATGTTTCTATAGAAATTCTCAGGATCTGAATTTGATAGTGGAAACCTTCTTATATATTTTTATTGATTAATTTACTTACCAATCTAAATCAACACCATCAAAACCATATTTCTGAATGAATTCAACACAAGAAGCAGCAAATATTGATCGACTTTGATCGGTAAGAGCTATATCAGAAAATTTTCCTGACCATGTCTATCAAAACAAATTATATATTCCATTTGCAAAAAAAATATTTTATAAATAAAGGAAAAGACTTACCCAACCACCAACAGAAATAAGTGTACGCAAGTTTGGATATGTTGCTTTCAATTTATTTAATTGATTAAAATTGCCACGTAATGGTTGATTCCATGTGTCACCATCAAATGTCTTGTCTGTATCTGCCCATGGATCACCAAGAGCAATGCGTCCATCAGAACCAATATTTGCAAATGCATAATTAATATGTGTTAACTTATCTACTGGAATATCGGTGACAAAAAATGAACGTGCATAAATGGACCAAGCAGTAAAATAAGCAAGAACTATTTTACTAGCTACCATTGTTTTGTTATTCTTGTTTGTAGTTTCATCCTGAAATCATACTTTATATATATACGAGTGAACACAATGGTAATACCCATGTTAATGAAAAATTAGGTAGAAGTAATATCAGCAAGTGTCATGAATAAGAAGGGAAAGGCCATGTCATTGGATGAGAAGAAAAATAAAAACCGCATTGGGTATGAAGAAGGACATAGAACAAAAATCAACCTTTATATATAAACGAGACAGAAAAAAGTAAAAGAAAGAGCATGCGCTATGAGAGAACGATTCAGTTGGATGAATACATGACATAGTGTATTTTGGTCACCTGTTAACAGCAGCACAGTGAAATACGAAAATTTCAATAAACACAAACATTTAGAAAATCGTAGAAATTGTTTGAATGCCTAATTTAGTTGTCCGAATAATTATATTCGAATAACACATAATATTCTATCTAGTAAATATGGATAGCTGTGATTATACTATTTTTCATGACAATACTGAATAGAATCTTATAGTGGAAACTCTCAACAATGTCTTTCATTGCACCTATAAACTAAATCAATTTTATTTCATAGACATGATACCTTTTTAAATATTTCGATGAATACATATCTATAATAAATATTTAAAGCAGAACATGTCGAAATAAATGATATTTCTTGGTATCTGGCTGCTATTGAATTTCCGAAAAGATTGAAATAATAAAAGTAATTTTAAACAGATGACACTTCACTGGTCTTCGTGGCGATTTCACTATGACTCGGTTCGACTTGTATTAAACAGGCAGAGAAAAAGTCCTGCGAAAATTTGAAAATAATGTAAATCACAAGTCGGAATGAAACAACCCAATCCTATTGGACGAAAAGTTTTTAAGAAATATCTCACACCATCTCGCGGAAAGCTTTTAAAATCAGTTTATTCCATGGGATGGCATAAAGATGTCATGGAATCTTATGGGACAAATAGTTTTTATAAGAATTTTTGTTTTATTAGATGTCTTTCTCGCCAAAATATGAACTTGATTATGATAAAATTATGAAATACAAAGTGAAATGATGTAAAATATTTTTTGTGAAATCCATAGGTTAGGGATTGTGAGCGAACCATTGCAACATCTTAACATGAAGTTTGCAAGGAGAAAGTTTTACTAACAGAGGTAAAGATGAAAAATACGACCGTATCCTGTTTGAAATTAGTTATATGACAGTTTTCAGTGAATTTTTCGAAACCTCAGTATTGATGTGATAAAGACGCCCATTTTACATAGTCTCAATTTTTGATGATTTTTTGGATCAGAACTTACACAGAAGATGTCCTTCTCAGCAATGATGCCACCTACAGCATACATTTTATTAGTAATACTTTTGCATGCATGGTGGACAACACTATGTATTAGAAAGTGCGCTAAGAACCGGGGTTTGTTCAGCAATTCTCCACAAATGACCGAGTTCATTATGTAACTGTAGAAATTAAAGAATTGCAAAATTGTTACTGTAACTCTTGCCAAAGATATCTTTGTTGATATAGACGTCTTAAGAAAAAATAAACACCAGAATATTATCCTTTCGAGGAATGTTTACTCTTCCATTCGATGTTGTGAAATAAATTGTAATTCTAGCTTAGACAGTTTTATCGTGCTGAAATCCATTCAAATTCTATTTTCAGACCTTTCAAATACTAACTCATAACTGCTAACCTGTGATGCATACAAACATTTTGAACTTAGATTTAAAAAGATCACATAATTCTGATGCTAACTCAATGTTTTAAAATTTCTGCCTGTTCTCTTAATGGGCTGAAAAATGAATAAACATTATAACTGAAGACTCTCGATCCATCCATTATAAATGAAAATTATGTTTTCAGAAATTTTTTTTAAATATATGAGAAGTACGAAATTCCATGGAATTAATGGGATGAAACGGAATGGGAGAGAAAATTTTGCATTCCCTCCCACGTGGAACCGTGGCCGAATCCATTTAAACAAGATGCACCTTTCATCTTTTTCATGTCAAGATTTAGACTCAACCAAATAAGAAACAAATGAACTGCATTCTGAGTTTTCAGCAGACTCTTTGTTTTCATAGATTGGTGTTACTATCTTTCATTCAAAGTGCGACTAAGTATGACTTAAAGAAAATTGAGCCTATTCCACACCCAACAATCATGTAGTGTGATTCGTTCCAGATTACTACGATTCTCATGTTTCTGAAAAAGGAATATGTGATAATAGATTGGTTAATATAAATGGCTTATGTATAACCCATTAAGCAGATTGCAGTGCTGCACGATGTAGTATGATAAACAGATGATGAAACAAAAAGAAAATTAACTCTTACTAAGCAGATTTCTAAAAACTATTGAAAAGTGATACATAATGGAAAAACAAATCATTCTTATAATAAATATATGAGATTACAGCTTCAACAGTCCATAGTTCAATTTAATGGATGACAGAGCATACCTACAGATTTCGTCATAATAGAAGTTATGAGGGATATGTTTTGTGATTTTATAAAGATTATTACGATCAACTTTGTATAATTCCAACAGATCACAATACGATACTGTCTAACATTCAAACAAAAACAAATTTAAAAAAAGCAAAAGGAAAATAAAAGATCGCATTGAAAAATAAGAAAAAAGGCGATACAAATAACTTCAAAACTAGCGAAAATATATGACCAACTCAAAATCTTAGACTGACATGACCACAGGTCAGAATTGCATCATAGTTACGAACAGTATATGCTATTGATTTCATATATATATATCTATAAATATTTCTTTGAATACGTTACATTCAACTTTCGAACAAGCTAAATTGTTTCCAATATTGTGAGTTAATATATGGTAGACTTTTTCCAATACAATATTCTAAGTTAGTCAGTCACATAGACTTCGCTGACATATAGTAACTCAGATTCCTCAAAAGTATTAAAATACTATCTTCTAATTTGACCGAAGTGGAAAATGAAAAAAAATTCAATATATAAGAAATTATAATATTTAAGTTGATGCACACTAAGAAGAGGAGATATCAGGATTCAACATCTGAATCTCATTGTCTCGACTCCCGTAAATTTTTAAAGAATGTAGAGTATGTGATTCGATTCAGTATGAAATAGACTATAAAATGAAATAAAATTTGTTTTTTGGGTAATTGATTTTTCTCTGAAAAGGTTTCCACTAAATACTAAAATAGCGCAATCTCGACGAGATAAAAAGGTGAAAACACGATATTGCCGTTTTGGTATTTACAAGAAGACAATTTTAATCCATCTATATTGTGACATGTTTCTAAATGATCCTTTTACTTATTCCTTCAAAACTGAAATCAGAAAGTTGTTTATATATTATGATAAAACATTATTGACGTACGATCTTTTATCCATTATCAACAACGCCTTGCATAGTTGGTGATTGAACTACAGGTGACTGTCACGATCTCCGGGCAGGAGGATTCAATTTTATTTCTATAGACTTCAATATTCGTTTCATTACTCACTCATTGATTATTCAAAAAGGTGTCATTAATGATTGATTATGGAGATAGCAAGTAGTTTTTGATTTTCTCTTTATCAGGTATAAATTAGATAGCAATTACACATTCATTAGGTATTAAATAAGTGACTTATATCAAATTTCTGTCAAGCATCATCGGAAAGAGAAAGGGATTGAAAACAGAGTGGGCTCAAATTCGTACTCTATATTCATCAACGCTTCTTCTTTTAGGCTGTTTTTCACAAAATAGAGCACATTTTATATGCTACTGAACATAGTATTCGACTTTTTTCGATTTCCTATTGAGATTAGGGCTAATATCCTTGTCCAAAGTTTCGTCGAGGATGTCATGCAGCATTGAGTAGTGTATGACCTGAACACTGTAATGTTTTGGATTATTCTATGGTATACAAAAGTCTGAATTTCAATAAGACCAGATTCGACATCTGCTTACCCTGAGTTTTCGAGCAGTTACTCAATTAACTTACTAAAACACATAACAAAAACACTTATAGTATAATCACAGCTATCCATATTTACTAGATAGAATATTATGTGTTATTCGAATACAATTACTCGGACAACTAAATTAGACATTGAAATAATTTCTACGATTTTCTCAATGTTTGTGATTATTGAAATTTTCGTATTTCACTATGTTGCTGTCAACAAGCAACCAAAATAAACTACGTCATGTACTCATCCAACTGAATCATTCTCTCATAGCACATGTTCTTTCTTTTACGTCTTTTTGTTTTATTTATATATACATGCTGATTTTTTCTTTTCTATGTTCTTCTTCATACAATATAAGGTTTGCATTTGTCTACTCATACAACCACCTAGCCTTTTCTCTTGTTACCCATGATCGTTCCTGACATTACTCCCACCTAATTTTCATTATCATGATTATTCCCATTACACTCACGTATAAATGTAAAATATGATTGCAGAATTAAAACAACAACAAGAAAAACAAAACAATGGTAGCTGGCCAAATAGTTCTTGCTTATTTTACTGCTTGGTCCATTTATGCACGTTCATTTTTTGTCACTGATATTCCAGCAGATAAATTAACACATATTAATTATGCATTTGCAAATATTGGTTCTGATGGACGCATTGCTCTTGGTGATCCATGGGCAGATACAGACAAGAAATTTGATGGTGACACATGGGATCAACCATTACGTGGCAATTTTAATCAATTAAATAAATTGAAAGCAACATATCCAAATTTGCGTACACTTATTTCTGTTGGTGGTTGGGTAAGTCTTTTCCTTTATCTATAAAATATTTCTTTTGCAAATGGAATATATAATTTGTTTTGATAGACATGGTCAGGAAATTTTTCTGATGTAGCTCTTACTGATCAAAGTCGATCAATATTTGCTGCTTCTTGTGTTGAATTCATTCAGAAATATGGTTTTGATGGTGTTGATTTAGATTGGTAAGTAAATTAATCAATAAAAATATATAAGAAGGTTTACAGTATCAAATTCAGATCCTGAGAATTTCTATAGAAACACTAATAAATCATTGAAATAGAAGAATTATAAAAGTTAATAAGAATTTTAATGATATATTTATGAAAAAAAGATTTGTAGAAAAAAATAATATATTATAAATATAGGGAATATCCTGTTTCTGGTGGTTTGTCAGGCAATAGTCAGCGTCCAGAAGACAAACAAAATTATGTTCTTTTATTAGAAGAAATTCGGCGTCAGTTGGATGCTGTACCTAATAAGAAATATTTGTTAACTGTAGCGTAAGTAGAAAAAGAAATCTTAAGTAGTCATTTGTAATTTTTTTTTATTATTTTTTATAGAACTGGAGCAGGTACTGAACGTATTGGTGATATGGATTTACTTGGTATGGCTGCATATCTTGATTGGTTTAGTGTTATGACTTATGATTTTCATGGTTAGTCTTCTAAATAAAATCCTTTTTTTTTGATGATTTATTTTTACAATATGAGATGAGTTTCTTTAGGTGGTTGGGAAACAAAAACAGGTCATAATGCTCCATTATATAAAAATAATGATGAAACAACAAGTGATGTTGCTCCATCATATATCAAATCAAGATATAATTGTGATGCAGCAATTCAAGCTTATATTAGAGCTGGAGTACCCTCTACGAAAATTCTGATGGGTTTACCTTTGTATGGACGTGGTTGGAAAGGTTGAATTTTAGAAAATTTTCTTTTTTCATAATAAAATGATTATTTTTAGGAGTAACAAGCACAGCTCTTAATGGATTTTCTCAAACAGCATCAAGCCAACTTCCACGTGGTACTTGGGAAAATGGTGTCTATGATTATGATGATTTGAAAAAATCTTATATACCATCGAATCAACGATATTGGGATGATCAATCGAAAGTACCATTTCTATTCAATCCATCTACTGGTCTTTGGATTACTTATGATGATGTTCAATCAATTGATATCAAAAATAATTATATTAAACAAAATAATTTAGGTGGTGGATTTTTCTGGGAATTAAGTAGTGATCGTCAAGCTGAACTAATCGGCTTAACATATAATGCCCTAAATAATGGTGTTGAACCATCACCAACAACAACTAGTGCATCATCATCGAATAGTTCTACTACCATTAATAGTGTTACGACAACAACACAATCGTCAACTCAAGGTATTATCCGTCAATGGCAAACTAATTATGCATATTCAGTTAATGATCTAGTAATGTATCAAGGTAGAATATATAAATGTCTACAAGCACATCGTTCATCACCGAATACAAAGCCATCCAAGACACCGACATTGTGGTTACGGATGTAATATTGGCTTATTTATTATTATTTGGTTATTTTCTGGAAAAATTAATAAATTTCTCTTGAGTAGTTTTGAATCTCGATTCATGTTGTGCTTTTTTTCACATTCATTGAGTTTTTTTTTAATAGATAGTTTAAACCTCTCATACAGTAATATATAATGAAGAAAAGTTATTACATATATGAAATTTGTTCAAATTGCATTTGATGTGAATAGAGGATACGTTGTGAGCCTGACTGATACTTTCAGAATAAAAGATTGAAAGAAGTTTATTCTTTTTGCTTGACTAAGGCGTCATTTTATGAAATTATTCGCACATCTAGTAATTGAGTGTCTTAGTGCAACCAAAGTAAAGATCAAAACTGGACACATACAAAGTGATTTAGTCTAATTATTCTTGATTAAACGAGTTAAAGCAGTTAGCAGAATTTCACAACCAGGCTATATGCTAAACTAGAGAATTTAGTAACCTGGATTTGAGTTTCATATTAATCACTTATTGTTCATGAATATCAATTGTGTATATAATTAAATGCGTGAAAGCGAGGCAAAAAAGGGATCTTCTTTAGTTCGTTTATTTTCACAATCATCAAACAGTAGATCGTGTTGTCACAGGCAATTGTCACGGTCTTATTTGTGAGACAAACGTCGATAATACGGTAAAGCTTCACATGGTGAATGCTTCGTGGTTTGAAGGAGTGATTTTTGCTGACATTGAGCTTCTTCATGACCGATACCATTCGTAAGTGTTTAGACAGAATGCTTTGAATCGTCAACAGCTAATCGCAGCTGGTTGAGGCTGATGAAATGAAGGCGAAAACATTTCTTCCGAGAAAAGTCTGTTGATTTTTGGTTGAATCTTAGAAAACGACAAGAAACCTTAATGTCTTTAATGCATAGTTCCCTGAACACGGCCACAAATTTAGGCAAATACGATAGAGGTGGTCTCATTTTAGAAAGAAGAATGTTACAAGAGTCTCATTCATGTCATGTTTCGAGATAAGAGGCTAGTTCAATTAACTGTTCATTAGATAATGAGACTATAAGTGCTACCTAACTGATAACAGGATGAAAGGAACGAAATGAGAAAAAGCAGTTCTAATTGTAAGAATAACAGTAAGTCAAACACTCACTATCACCTTTATCCAAATCATGATCGTTAATTATTAATGAACTTAAAATTAATCTCTTTTTAATCACAACATAATGCAAATGAGACCTTTCCTATATTGACTGGTCTCATTTTTGGTATCATTTCGATCATAGGCCTTTTCGCTTTTATTCAACATCTATATTAGAAAAACAATTAGGTAACGTTGTCAAAACAGAACTATATCAAAGACTGACGGGCTATCGCAAGAGTACTTACTATCAAAACGAGCTACTTATTCTTTTCATCTCAAATAAACAATGTACTTAAGTTTGTTTTCTCGATTATATCTTCACACTATTATCGTTCAACTAGAAACTTCCATTACTCATTCATATATCTCATTTTTTTAATTTATTGTCAAAGCCATAAAAAAAAAAACAGGAAAATATTAAATAAGACTGCGATATCATTATTTTATATTTCACTCAAAATTCTTGTTCTTCATTGAAATCAAGGATAATAGCAGACAAAAAAAAATATTTTCTTGTCATAGTTCTCTTATGAATATATACTACATCGATATTCTTTTATCAATTGTCAAAAAATCGATACTTTTCATCAAAATGTAAAGAATATGTTCGCTTTTTTTGTTACTTTCGATGAAGCAACTTTAGAACTATTGACATGCTAAGCACAATTTCAAATGAATAACTCTAAATATATTCTCCATACTTGACTGAAAATTGTTTATAATCGTTAAATTGAGTAATTGTTATATCTAGTTGAAAGCAAAAGTATATGATCATTATTCTCTAAAGATTTTATTAATAAACTATTTCATTTTATAAAAATGCTAAGCAAATCAATAAGAGAACCTATAGGAAATAAATCAAAGTCTGATTAAAACGTTGATGTATTTTATGGTTTATCGAAAAAGGAACTACGTTATTTATTTTTTTGGTGTTCATGTATTAGTTAGATTAAGTGTGCGAAAAAACAAAAAATAATCTTTCTCATTTTTTTTCTTCTTTGCCAGAGGTCACTTTATATTTATTCAAAAATAGACAACATATTATCATCATTGTCTTTTTATGAATAAAATGAATTGATATGAGCTATGTTTACATCGAATAATAAATATTTGTAATGAACTGAATGAATAGTGTTATCGCTACCATAGATAATGATATATATTGAGGTATTTCATCACTGTTGTCGAATCATTATCAATACAAACAAACACTTATACACAGTAGTCACACAAGAGAAGAGAGAAAGAGAAAACACATTGTCAAGGTCAACACACTATGACGAAAAAAGTCACTTTGAGAAAAACAAAAATAGAAAAGTAATGTGTAACGGTCAATAATCGTTACTTTTTCACTAGCATCAAATATGAATAATCCATTAACAGGTAAGTTGTCGTTTATTCTATTACTTGTTAGTAAATATTCCTTATTACTATTTTTAGGTATACTCAAAACATCATATTCAAAATTTAATAGTAATATACGTATTTTATGTTCTGTATGTTTATGTTATCGTTCGTATGTATTATTTTCTACAAATTATTGTTGTTCATCATTAAAAAAACATGTTCAACGTCAAGTGTGTGATTCATGTGTTCATCAACATATTCTATCAAAACTTTATTCATGTTTAGCTAGTTGTATAATATGTCCAGAATTCAATTGTTCTCTTTATTTATCTTCATCAGCTATATGTGATATACTTTTAAAATATGAAAGTAATGAATTATTAAATGATTATTTATGTGAACAGCAATGGCAAGGAAAAAGTGATGAATGGATAAAAAGATATACTTTACGTTGTCCTGGATGTTATGTACCTATTGAAAAAACTGGAGGTTGTGATGAAATGATTTGTATTCGATGTCAAACACATTTTTATTGGTCTAAAGTGAAAAGAAATATGTCAGAAAATAAAAAACAAAGATTAAAATCATTTTCTGTTATTCATCCATCTATTGTTGTTATTATATTCGTGATCTTTCTTGTTTTTCTTATCGTAGCAACTGTTATCTATTATAAATAAATAAAAAACTATACATTCTATTTATTTTTTTTATCTTATTGAGTTTTATTAGATAAAGTTATGTGAATATTCATAATATTTATGCTAACACTAAAAAAAATATTCAACTATTTTAAAGTTAGTTTCTTGCTGTTATATTTTATACTTAATTTGAGATAGTTTTTAGATTATTTTTTTTAATTATGAATAATTAAATCCTCATCAATTTTTATCTGAGAATTCCAAAAATAAAATCAACTTCTGATTGATTATAAACAGTAAAAATTTCAATTTCTTAATTTAATAATTAAGATAAAATCTTCTAATAAATTCTGCATTGTGCTCCTTCTCAGAAGATTATGTCTATTACTATATAGAGAGATTTATTAATGTTTTCAAAAATTTCACTAAATATTGACAAAAATTATAGTTTCACTGCGTACACAACTAACTATGAAAGAGAAAACAAACAGTACATTGAAAACAGCATGTAAAGCAGAATAAGTAAATGATAAAAGTCAATTAATTTTGATATATATATTTATGTGATCTATAGAAATTTTGGTCGTCGTCTTCATAAATTGTTTCAATCTTAATTTACGGCAACTCGTGCTCTTGTTATCAATTGAGTTTGTGCTATAGTCCCTACGGAATTGCGTGGTTTTATACAATGGCATAATATCTTAATCCATAGAAATAGACCTGGTAATAAGCCAAGATATATCCAAGGAAGAAAAAGAATTATGAAAGACATGAAAAAGAGTAAATAGTCCGTTTGAATTTGAGCAAGAAAGGTAGGATAGCCAAGTATTTGTACAAGTGCTACAACAAGACATGGCATCCATGCAATTAAATAAAGACTTGAAATACCAAGCAATTGTAATGTTAAACGTCGTTGTTTTTTCCATGGCAATGGTTGATGTTGTTCACGTTTTTGTTTTATTACTCTTACAATGAGCACAATATTAGCTAATGCAATGATCATCATAGGCAAACCATTATTGATTGACCAATCAAATGTACCTAGAACTTTATCAAATACAAGATAACAAGGAGCTGTACCACAAATATTGCTAGTGTAATCCCATTGAGTACCGTCACATGGATATATAATTATTGCAAAAAAATAGAATGTCATAGGATAAATAACAGACAAATAAAGTGGTACATGATGGAGCAGAATACTCATCCGACGAATTCGTAGAACATTTCTATTAAAAACAAGCATGTGTCGTTGTACAGATATAGTGGCCATAAGATATTCACTTATTGAACATAATGTGAATTCAAAAAAAGTCCATCCTGTACAAAAGGCTGGTGTCGCTGGAGTAACATAGTCATGATAATAGTAATTAAGATTGAGTGGTAACGTGAACGATAATTGAATAAAATTGATTGAAAGTAGAATCAGCAGCGCATAATTTTGTGGTGCCTTTGCAGCTTTACAATTCTTCTTAAGAAAGGCAAATAGTAGAAAAGAAAGAATCAATGCTGGAATTTGTAGAAAGATTATTAATGAAAACTTGATTCGATGAAGTAAAGATGTTTTGTAATCGAATGTTTCGTAGTCAGAGGTGTTCATCGTTATAATAGTTACACACAATACAAATGAAAATGTATTTGTTATAGTAATGAATTAAATCTGATGATTCATTATCATTTCCTTCGTTTTTTTGTATGTTATGCGTTGCAACTTTAACTACGTTTTATGATTATATTGACAATAGCCTAGGCAGAAATATTCTTTTAAATATATATATAGTGTTCTGCAAGAAAAAGTTGACGAAGTGGAAAAATTTTAAATGAATATTGTAAGACAAATTATTATAATGATGTCTATTGATGTAAGTTTGCTTAACTTCGTCCTATACGTCAACATCATTACATATCTATTTTATTTATTTCCTTTTTTATAGTTGAATTAACCACTAGACATTCGTGATACATTTTTATATAGTTAGCCATAAAGATGGAACAGTAAACTTGAACATTTTAATTGAAAAGAAATAACCATTTTTTTAATGCATAATTAGATTTATGTCTCTTTCAAGTCACGAAAAACAAGTTTTCTAAGGCATAGAAGACGCATAAATAGGTCTCTCACTAGAATGCTTTTGGATACACATCTCTAATAATAAAAATCATTTGCTCGAATATCAGTTATAGAACAAAGAAACATATTCTAACAAGAAAGTAATTTTTCAACATGAAACTCATTATAAGGATAAAGTTTTCTCTTTGAGAGTACAATTTAAGTTAGTTATGTCTTAATGATATAACATTTTCTGAATGAGCCTACACATATTTTATTTTATATGACTTATGAAAAAGAAAACAAATCTTAGAAAGTTATTTGTTCTGCAAGTAATAGACGTCGGAAAAGTCTTTGGAAAAATGCCAAACTCTGTTAGACTCATATTGTTAACTTCTAAACCAATGAAATTCTTTTGGTTAGAAATAGTAATATCTAAATTACAAATTTTGTACTAGACGTGTTTTTTCAAAGTAAATCTAAAAAGAAGGAAAAGTCAAAAAGAAAAGATCTTTAAAAAAGTTCTTGCAACTTCATCATCGTGCTACATCATTTTTCTATTTTCTGTTAAATTTTTCTTATATCAAAAGTGAAATACAAAAAAAAAATCATATTTAATTATAATTTTCATAGCGTAACGAGTGCTCTTTCTAATGATCTTTTGAAAGTTAAATTTACTCTTAGTTTATATAACAAAATACAGGTATTTCTTCAAGAGATTGTATAATTTAGTTTTGAATTGTTTTTTCTATCAATTTTTTATTATCTGGCATAATTTCGAACAATGCACGCACAAAAAATTGTGTTCATGAATGGTTGCAGTAGATTGTGGTTGATGTTCATCCAAAATTCTATTTTGAAAAAAATTTCATACAACCTAGCATCAATTGATCTTTTGATGCATTACATATTGATAAATTTTTTTATTAGAGTTTGGTCTGTGTAGCTCAAAATAATTGAGAAATAGAAGCTTCTCAAGTTGAAAAAAAAATGTTAAAAGAACTATTTTAGAAGTGTTTGTTTTTTAGCTTTTCCTCTTTCTCTTACACACACTTTCTGAAAAAACACTTTCTCGTACAAGATTTGTAGTTTAGGCATTACTCTTTTTAATAAAAAAATTTGATTAGTTTAGAAGTTTGCAATGTGACCTGAAAGAATTTGACATTTTTCCAAAGACTTTTGCGTAGTTTGTTAGCTGACAGTTAAATTTGTTTGCTGACATTATCATAGCATGATTCATTTAATTGAAATTTTTAAAATATGTATTCTATTAGAAGATATTGAAGCTAAATTGTAATTTATTATTTTTCGAAAATTCGACATAATATTAACCATTATTTTATTCATATTCGATATCTTTATTCCACCATTAAATTTTCATGAATTGCTACAAAACACTACTTTGAATAGATATTCTGCTCATTATTTGCATGTCTCTTTCTTTTCAGTCAACTATAATTACAAATGATCACCTATTTGTAAATACCAGATGTCTCACAATGTTTGTCTGCTTTTTATTTTTTCTATGAGATCAGATATTCAATACGGTGTACCATCAGCCATAGAATGACCATAGACGAATTATTATCGGTTATTTGTTTCGAATCAATCATTTCATAGCATGTTGATTATTTCGTAACATAAACCTGATCTTGTGACTCTTATGTGATTAGTAAGTGTGTATGGAGCACTGAAGTAATTGAGCACAAGAATTGTACTCAAACCTATCTTCTATTCAAAGCTACAGTTGGTATTAGTTGTAGGGAAGATATTGAGCCATTGAATCTACCAATGAAAAGCAACCCATATTGCAAAGTAGCCAAAAGGCAGATATATTCTTCAAAGTCTTGATTTTTTTTTGTTAAAATATAAATTGTCGAATATTCGTCAAATGTCAATCAGCTCTAATTTAAAACAGTATGACTGAATGTTTTGACAGATCAAATCATACAATTGTATGAATAGTATTTACTTCTTACACACCGTTTGTACTCATTTATTTATTTCATATGAAATATCATTCAGTATTGAAACTAAAATTTACTGCTAGATAGATCTTGAAAGCCGTTGTTAATTATATATATATAAGTGGACAATTATTGAATACTTATTATTTTGAACAGACAAAGTTTTCTACGAAATTATTTATTGAAAATAACGACATTTTCTTTTTTTTTTTTTTGATTATTTATTTTCAAGTAAAAGTATCCAAGAAGTGTTCTCTATGATCAAAACAATTTTATTTTTATTTCGTATTCTTTAGATTCTAATTTATTTTTCTATGTAGAAATCAAATAATCTTGATTACTAAATGATTCAACTGGAATTCGAATTCAAATACTATGAAAAACTTTATAATCGTGGAAGCCACTCAGAGAAACTATACCTACTCAATGAGAGTAGATTATAAACAAAGACTTATGAGGAATTCCACAGGTATATTTCATATTGAAAACTCAGTCTTTCAGATGTTCGTTTTTTCTTTACTATGGAAAATCATAGTAAAAGCAAGTTTGAGAAGTTAATATGATTCAGAGAATTATATTATAAGATGCATAAAGATGTTCAGTCATATTGTTTCAAAGTGAAGATAGTAGAATTTTCTAGCGCATCTATGAAACAAAAGATCAAGGTTTTATCATTTATTTGTGTGGAGATGTAGATAAGATAAAAGAAAAATGTATCTACTTTTAAACATCTAGTATTCACATAATTTTCTTTCTTCTTAATGGGCACTATTGAAAATTATGTTTTATTCTGTTTCCTTTGTCTTTACATGGCTCACTTGAATAAGAAGGAAATGAGTCGGTGTCTTCTTGTCGTTGTTTTGTTAGTTTGTTTGCATGTTATTGCTTATTTGTCGTTTGATAGATGTGTACTGTGTATTTTTCGTCATAAAATAAAAATAATCACATTATAAAAATAGTTCTTGAGAAGACATATTCTTCAATAAATATGTATTTACAAAAGTTTCTTGGACACAAAAAATTTATAAAAAAAAAATGTGAACATATTCGATTTTATCTTAATACTTTGATTACAACAAATTCTGAAATTTTTAACAACATTCTTTAAATTGATAGAATATTTCTTTTGTTTAACGAAGAAGTAAATAGAAATAAAGTATAGTCTTTCATTCATCAAATATAAAAGTAATACTTTATCAAATTTTTGAATTAAGCCTTTTAATATGATATAATTAATAATTTCTCTATATTTTTCATTTTAGCTACATAACTTTTATTGTATTTCGAAGTAAATCTTCTATTAGTTTAATCAATATCAATCAGAAATTAGATGTATACTATTGTATGGATCATTTGTACTTAGGGCGTACAAAAAGTTCGTGTCCCGCTGTTTAAAGGGCCTCATCGGATGGGTGAACCGATTCAGAAATAAGAAACAAATATATCATCTTGTAGAGCTTTTCGAGCCGCATCGAATGGTATATAGTAAATTCTGTTTTAATAGAACTTTGAAGGACCTAGAGGCAATTTACTGATGGACGACTATACATTCACACCCATCCACACTCACGTCTACATTCACAAGATGACCGGAGATGGTATGTATATGAGGTTGTAGTCCGTCAAAACCTCTACAAAGTCGCATGTGAGAAACAATATTTTACAAATGCTTTCAATTAATAACAAGAACCACAATAATCATTAACTTATGGTCCTCGGGTATGGATGCCGATATGGATGGATGTGAATGTGTAGCCATCTATCAGCAAATTGACTCTAGGTTCTTCAAAGTTCTATGAAAACACGATTTACTATATACCATTCTATCCGGCTCGAAAAGCTCTACAAGATGATATGTTTGTTTCTTATTTCTGAATCGGTTCACCCCATCCGACGAGGCCCTTTAAATAGCGGGACACGAACTTTTGGTACGCCCTAAGTAATTATTATTCTTGCATTATATCATAATCAAACGGTTACGAATAACTAAGGATTAACTAATGAATAAATTTCTTCACATTTCTGTACACTTGATTAGGTTTTAATATTATTGATAGTCTATATTCTTCATTTGGATATCATAAAATTTTTTGTTTTTTGTTTTTTTGAAGGAAACGTCTATAAGATGCATTTGAACAACTTCTGATTTAAGTGCCATCGAAGAATATTAAATATGACATTATCATAGTAGATTTTTGAAAAAAATAATTTAATTAAAGAGTTTTATTAAAATAGAAAAGAGCTTTTATTATTTTCTTTTTTTCAGTGTTTATTACTTAGAAATTTTACAAAAAAAATCATGATCAATTCTAGTTGTATGAGAAAATTTGCTAATAAGTGTTGTATCACTTCTTTTTTTTATTCATTCTTTATCATGAAATATTCTTCGATCTACTACGTATTTTACATTCAACTTTGATCATGCTTTCATTCTTCAAATTCTAATGAAAAAACTTTTGATATCATTCGTTTTACTGAGAAGTAAAATAAGAAGAAATATTGAGCTAATAGTTTTTTTCATTTCCATGAAGTCATCTGCTTTTTTTTTTTGAGTCTACATAAAACTTCTTCCAATGAATATTTTATCCTATATAGAAAACAATATTTAGCTTTTGAGACCATAATAATTGTCAAAACAATAATAATCATTCTTGTTTTTCATATAAAATTTTAGTGATTATTATTTAGTATGTAACAATTTTATCAGCTTAATGAAAATAATGAATGTTTAAAAATAATTTCCTGTATGATCGGAACCAAATTTTAAGTATGTCAGATTATCTTCATTTGATGACAACCATTGTCAACAAAAGGAATATTGAAGTTATACATTGGAAGAAAAAAAAAAAAACAGAAAAATATCATTTTTTTTTGTTAGAAATAACACTAGTGAAATTGTATATTACTACTGTCGACGACTATCACTACAAATTTATATTATCCAATATTGCTTTCTAATAAAATTCTTTAATAATTAATTTAACTTCTATTTTGTATTTTTATTCATTATTATGGTTAACATTAATACTATTCAATCAGGCACTGTATTTGCATGGTTTATGCTATTGATGATTATTCGACGTATTGTATTGCTGATTATTGTTAGCATTGTGGAATACAACAGATCTTTTCCACCAAGTTTTCGAGTTCGTGAAGACAAAATACTGAGAAAAGTTCGAATAGAAACATCAATAACAAGACCTATCCATATCGAGGTTACTAAACATGTGCGTGTTAACAAAATTATTGGTAATAATTTAGAAAATGATGTACATTTTATAATTCTTCTATTCGCAACAGCTATTTTCTCAGATAGTATAAATGACAAATGTACAAAAACAATTATTTATGGTGTTATTTATTTATTTTTTCGTATATTTTATGCTATAGCATATATTATAGCATTACGACCATGGAGAACTTTGGTATTTTATCTTGGTCTTTTGTGTACTTTAGCTTGTAATTTAGATCTCATTATTACGATGTCACGTCAATCAAATTGAATTATATTGACAGTTGATTTATTCTATATCTTTAGAATATGTTATAGACATTGATATCTAGAATACTTTTTTCGATCATAATAAAATATAATAAATAAATCAAAGATATTTCCTAGTATTATACATATATGATATTTTCTCTTGTGAAAATATTTGAAGATAAATGTAATTTTTACATGAAATTATCAAACTTCATTGTGATAACAAGTATAATATTGTTGCTTTTGTTAAACAAAAAACAAAAATCATATAAATATAAATATATAATTATTATTTTTAACACTTAAGATATATATACATAAACTTATAGATTCTTATCTAAGAAATAAAATGACAATTCATGTCAACTTAAAAAATATCGTTTAAACTAATAAACAAACAAGATATCATTTTAACCTTGAGAAAAATCTAATGAGTCAGACAGTCGACCTGATCAATATGTCAAATATCTTTTCATCGATATGGTGATTTTTTTTTCTTACGAACGAGAAAAAAAAAAGCCAACTTTTTTAGGTTTGCTGTGATAAAAATGATGATTTATACAGGTGTATAATATTTATGCATTGAAGCATGTCTTAACTTTATATGTGATCGATATAAATTATACGTATTTTTCAGCTTTCATCAAATGTAAAAAAAAATATGTTTTCAAAGGTAAAGATTGCTATACAATCGTTTCGAACGGGATATCCATTTCAAACACAAACTACCGTCTCGGATGTAGAAAATGATGAAATAATTACTGATGATCAGGAAAGAAAAGACAAAAATGAAGAAGATGTTACTATTGTTTTGTTAAATAATGACTTGGAAAATAAGAAAACACAATCATTTATTACGTCTCTTCGATCAATAAATGATTATATTCAAGTACGATATTAATATTTATATGAAATTTTATAGATATCAGATATCATCAATTTTCAATAAAAATTTCTACTAGATTTTTCTTTTCATAGATTCAAAGAAAAAATTCAGAAAAATAATCCTATTGAATATCTTAATTGATTATACTAATTTAGTTTCTATATCATTCTATTTTGTTAATAATAATTAAATAGTATTTAGTATGAAAGTAAATGAAAAATTTTAATCTTTTTTTTTTTTTATTTTCCAGGTCTTTCACACTGAAGATAAAGCTTTGGCATATATTGAATCAGTCGTTGAAGAAAAAATCTTGTTAATTGTTGATTGTCTTTCTGATAATCTTCTTAATGTTATCGAAGCATTAAAACAAGTTGATGGTCTTTTTCTTTATACATCTGTATTACCTGATAAACTTCCATCATGTATTACAGCTATTTGTTCTAATGAACAACAACTTTTTGATGAAATAAAAAATATTCGTCAACAAATCAGTAAACAAATGACTGTCTTTTCTATTTACAATCAAACAAAAACGGAAAAAATTGATATACAACATGAAGTTGGTACTTTTCTCTTTTTTGAAATTTTTAAAACTGCTTTAAAAAAATTACCGAAAAAATCCGAATCTAAAAATTTAATGGTTTCAAAATATCGTAATTATTATGCAGGTAATAGAAAAGTTTTAGAAGAAATACTTGATTTTGAACATAATTATAAAACACATGAAGCACTTCAATGGTATGTAAATCGTTCATTTATTTATCGATTAATTAATAAAGCTCTACACACGGAAAATATTAATTCTTTATGTTATTTTCATTTTTACATTAAAGATTTATCAAAACAAATAGAAAAAGAATTTAGAAAATTTAAAAAACAAAATTCTCAATCTATTATTCAATTGTACAGTAGTTCTAAAACAACAAAAGAAGAAATAAAAAAATATCAACATAATATTGGAAATTCAATTTTCACTCATGGATATTTGTCAACAACACGTCAACGTCATTTAGCCTATGATTTTGCTATCAAACAATATATACAATCTGATGAAGAAAAAGTTTTATTTCAATATACTGTAGATTTAGATCATGTTCAATCAATCATTTTTGCTGATATTTCTCAATATAATAAATTACCAGATGAGAACGAAATAATTTTTGATTTAGGTAAATTTAAATTTCATTTTGTCAAATTTTATCAAAAATATTTTTCAATGAAAATAATTTTTCATAGTATGATCCATTTTTTTTGTTTTTTATTGTCTTGTAGGAGCTGTCTTCAAAATTGAATCGTGTACATTTAATACTAAAGAAAATTTATGGTTAATGAATGTTCAGGCAACAGATAAAGTTTTTGAAGTTACTTCTGAATATCTTGAATATCAAACATCTAAAATGGCTGAATCTAATATTGTATTAACGCTTGGTCATTTAATTATTGAAATGGGTGATTATGATAGAGCCGAAAAATATTTTACTACAATTTTAAATTCATCAATTCCAAATGATGAAGAAATTTCGTGTATATATTATCATATGGGTCGAATTTATCGATTAAAAGGTGAATATGAACGTGCACTTGAATTTCTTCAACAAGCTTTTGACACACATTCAAAAGCTCGACCATCTCGTTGGGCAAGTGCAGCTAAAGCGATGAATGCCATGGGTATTGTTTATATGGAACAGAATAATGTTCAACAAGCAATTGATTCTTTTGAATGTACGTTAAAATTATATACAAAAACTATTCATGAATGTCATCCAGATATTGCTGGAACACTTATTAATCTTGCTAATATTTATTGTGGACTAGAAGAATATAAGAAAGCTCTTTCTTGTTTTCAACGAGCACAATATATTTATGAAAGTAGTTTACCACCAAATCATCCAAATCGAGCAATTTTACTTAATAATCTTGGTAATTTTTATCTTCGTCAAAATCAGTTGGATTTAGCTTTGAACGCTTATGAACAAGCTTTGAATATCAATGAGAAAACTTTGCCTGTTAATCATCCTGAAATTGTACGAAATAGAAATAATCTATCTAGGGTACAAATAATGATTTGTGAACAAAATAAACCTGATGTTCAGCTCGAAAAAGCTCCTGACTATAGCCAAGTCGTCATATGTTCAAGTGTGGAACCGAATATAACTAACTTATTTTCATCGGACACTTCGGAAAAACATCAAAATTCAGACTCGAAAGTAGAAATGATTGAAATGAAGAATTATTGATGGTACTCATTTTAAAAAATATCTTTTTTTTTTTTTACATTTTTTTTCTTTTTCTTAATTAAACATGAAATAAAGATATTATTATTGCATATAACATATGGTAACATTCTTCTAAATTGTAACAAATGTACATAGTACATTTTTTTTGTATGTTTTCAAAATTAATAGAAGAAATGAATTTTCATCAGCTATGGTGGATCAGAAATGTTTAGTATCAATTATAGTTATAAGAAGTTTATGATTCACAAATATACTTTTTGTTGAATTATTCAGCTTAGTAAAAGATAAGTTCTTATGAATTAATTATGATATTATATATAAGAATGTTTCTGCAAAAAACTTGTCTCAAGTGAATTGAGTTTAATTTTTTTCGTTTTGTCTAAAGATACTGTTTATTTTCTAATTTGTTGTTCTGTTTTAATTCTAATTCTGTTTATGAAACTTATATATATTTTCAAGTGTAGGTAGTATGGGTATGACCGTATTAAAAACTGCCATCTCTATCTAGATTCACACATCCACATCGAAATTATAAAATAATATTTTATGTTTTTTTTTTTTCATTAATCTTATTTATTTTTCATAGCGTAATTCAATTTTAAAGTAATAATATTATCATAGGAAAATAGAACAAACAATATAATTCGAAAAATGAGAAGAAAGCTCTTAGTTTCGATAGAAATATCAATTATCATTTTTTTCATTACATAATGAGTATGAAGCAAATGATATCAAGTTTTATTTTAACAGATGTTGTGTTTCTACTTGTAATTATAGATGAAATTGGCATTGTCTTGTCTCGATAGAAAAAAAAAGTAGTTTACAAATAATTTTCTTCCATGTGCAGAAATAAATGTTCAATGTGTACATTACTTTTTCTTTTATGAAAGTCGTTATCACGATTTATGTTGACATTTCTTCTAAAAGAAAAAAAAAGGGACACGTCAATGAATACTTCAACTCAGATTATTATTATACAATATTTGCAATCGATAAGATAACAAACAAGGACAACTACAATAGAAATATATATTGGATAGTGCATATCCCCCGTAACATACATATACACACCACACTTGCTCTGTCTCATTGCGTGAATTGTCATTACATAGTTGTATCACAATTATCATTTACTATGGTTAGTGTCAACACGATTCAATCAGGCACTGTTTTTGCATGGTTTATGTTTATGATGATTATGCAACGTATTGTAATGTTGGTTGTAGCTGGCATAGCAGGACGTGGTAGATCATTTTCACCAGGTTCTCGAGTTCCTGAAGATAAAATTTTGAAGAGAGGTCAGGTGGATACTTCGACGACAGAAAATACTCATATAGAATTTACTAAGGACGTACGTGTCAATAAAACCATCAGCAATGATACAGAAAATGATATGTATTTTTTAATACTTCTATTAGCAACTGCCATCTTCTCTGATACAAAAGCTGTGACTGTACAAGAACAATTGTGTATGGTTTGATTTATCTAGTTGCTCGTATCTGTTATGCTGTGGCATATATTATGGCATTGCAACCATGGCGAAGTTTGATATATGGTGTTGGTCTTGCTTGTACTTTAGCCTGTAGCCTAGATTTAGTAATAACAATGTCACGACAACCAAATTAAAATATTTTAACACTTTATTTATTCTACACATTATACAAAAGAAAACTAATATAACGATCATTACTAACAAATATTCTTGCACACTTTATCATTGATACTTAGGGTATATCAAAAATTCTGTCATCATTAACTAAAAATATAAAAATAAGAATATATTTTCAATTTTGTTTCATCAAATGTTTACGATAGTTATTATGATTATTTATAGTAAGTTTAATCTTTTTTAATGATTTATAAAAAGTGTTTTTGAACTCTGTTTCAAAAAAAAAAAAAAACTTACACTATCTTGAAAGCCGCATGAACATGTCATATTTCATTTGTCTGATCGACTTCAAGATTTTGTCTTCAATTTTAGTTAAGATCATGTCCGTTAGATTCCAGTACTATGAGTGATGAGATATGGATTTATATTAGACAGATCGATAGTTAGTTCTATGATACTAGCTGGATTAGTGAAGATGAATCCGTAAAAACTATTGTTCACAGATACAGATTTAAATCAAAACTTTGTTTTTTTATATTGTTTAAATTAAATGATCCTGTCTTGATACATAATGTGGATTATGTCAAAACTGTATGCCATAGATATTATATTAAAAATTATCTAAAGCCTTTTTTTTAATGCGATATGGAAGTAAACAGAGATAACAGATTCGAAATGTTTAAAATTGCTTAACAATTATCGTTGAATTTATATTCATCCGATGTTATTAACTGTTTGACAGAAAAAAAAGCATCAATATAATGTCGTCTCTAAAATATTCGCTGGACCTAGCACTGCATAATCTTTGATGAAATGATTCTATTGAACGAAGTCAAATTGATTAAATAAATGAAATATGATGTGCTCACGAGGTTTCCAACGTACTTAAAATTTTTTTTTAAAAAGAGTTCAAAAAAAATTTTTTTATTAATCATTAGAAAGGATTGAAATTTCTATAAACAATCAAAACGACTATTGTGAACATTTGATGAAATGAAAATGAAAATATGTCCTTATCTTGATATCTTTATTAAATGATAACAGAACTTTTACTATATTCTAATTAGGCAATGAATTCTTTTTGTATTAGCATATCTATGAAATATCAAATAGGTTCAATGTTTCGTTTTTGAAAAATAATTTTCTCTGTTTTTTTTTCTTGATGTTCATTTTATTTGTTAACTCATGTGATAATGTTCATATTTATATCCTCGTAGTTCTACATTAGAATTAGACTATGTGTACCATTGTTTTAAATAGTATTTGAATCAATTTGTATCATAATATAATTGGTTTAACATATTTTATTGACAGTTTCACTCATGAATGTATTTACTAGATGTTGATTAATTTATTATATTTCTCTAGAAATCGAAAGTCGAGTATATGTGTCAAAGGAAAACAACGGATTGCGTTAAGATTCAGCGACCAACATATATAATTTTATACCGGTAGAATCGAGTAACGTTATCGAAAGCCTTTCAAAATTCTTCATGTAAGTCTATACAGAACTCCATGATTCTATGTTATAATATAGGTTATTATATTTCCATCATTAAAATGTACTTGGTTGTCCTTTTTCTATATCTGCAACAACATGTATAGAACTCGACTGTTTTTAGTTGTCATAACTCATGATTTCTTCAATATTCTGCTTTAAATACGTTTCAAACAATGGCAAACTCAATACCACCTTATTTTATTTTAAAGAATTTTTTTTTCTCTATCTACTAATGATTTTTCATGTTCAATATATACAAAGAAAAGGTCTCCATATCGATGACATGTTTATTGTAAAGAAAAAAAAAGATCAAAGATAATACAATTGCTTATGATAACTTTAATTATATTTTATATTGTGAATTATTATGATCATCTTGCAAATTTTGTTTTATTAACCATTAAATGAATATTTTATTACTCATGTTGTTTATTATTTAAATTGATCAGTTTATTAAAAATAAAATAATGACTAAAAGAAAAAAATAATAATAGTTAGAGACTACTACGGATATAATAAGTTTAAGTGAATCAAAAGACGCGACATCGATAGTAGTTAAAGGCATACGATTAACTAGAAGTATGTTGAAATTATAGCTTACTTAATATAGTGACAAAAATCTATTAACAACAGAATTCAATACTTTTCTCTAACGGTTCATTATATTTTATCGCTTTTGTTGAATTTTTCGTTCATAGAGTTCACTAAAAACGAACTATTTATATAAAATATCTCATATTCAACACTTGAGTTTATGTATTTTAGCTTGTGCACCACGTCAAGACGTCGGAATCTTTTTTTGTTGTTGACTGAGACTAAATACACTTTTGATTCTCATCACAAGACGATTTCACTTCTAAAAATAAAATAATACATTGACATTTGTAATAGTACTAACAAAACTATGGATAATATGATTTTTTTAATTATGCTATATCTTGTCTCATCTATTCATTCATAAGTGCTTTTCGCTGAATGAATTGTACATAATTAGATAGCATTAAAAAATACAGCTAATTAAAATTAAATATGTGTGGGACCAACTACTTATTGCATCATTTGAAGAAAAATAATTAATCAATGAAACAGATAGAATCCATTTTACGAAAATTTTGCTTTTTTCTTTAAGAACACATCAACACTGCTTGATGATCTATTGTTCATAACGTGCTTGGAAAAAAATTCTACGTTCAAATGTTAGTATAATTTTTCTCAAATTATCTTGTAAAAAGTTTGCGTCTTTTCTTTCTAATTATTCTTTAGATTAAATTGCAGGAAAAAGTCTTGTATGATATATATCTAGCATAGAAAATATTTGTGTCGATAAGATGATTGGTATATCTTGATTGGAATTAACTCTGAATCTACCAACTTATACTTCAGATACCACAAAAAGCATAGTTACACTTTTTTTTTTATTTCAGATTTGGCGAAGAATCATTCTGAACAATTGGTTTTACCAATTTCAAAATACATATAATCGAGAATAGCGTTAGCATTGTTATTGATAAATCGATCAGAAATAAACTTTTTTGACTCTAAAAACAGATTTGGATCATTGTGTTCAATACAAGCAAACCACACAACACTTTCACAATGTTTAAGAATCAAAATACATCCATCATATAAAACTATTTAAGGTTACACGAGTTCAATGCGTCAAATGTCCACTCTTCAGTCAGTACGCTGTTACTATCGCTGTCGAGAAAACAAGCTGACAGATATGTATCAATTTCTTGTTTTATAGTTTCGATTATTTTGGCATCGTGTAGGATAAAGAACAAACGTCAAAATACGATTGGAATAGTATTAGTTTATGATGCTCAACAGAAAGGTGTTCGATTGTCAGAATATTTTTCTCCGAAAGCTATTTCGGATGATCAAGACAAAGCCATATTTGATCTCGATTAATATTATATTGATGTGGTGAGGATTGATTTGTTTAACTATAATTAGTTCATATTAGAACGTGTTGTTAGCTTACGTGAAAAGAACCACAAATAGACCCAACGAGAAAGACTCGCAGCAAAATTATAAAATTTATTATTGAAAATACGAAAATCTTCTTCTAATTAAAATAAATTAATCTCTCTCAACAATACAAGTAATGAAGGTTGAAACACCATACGATGACTTAGTTTTAATAAGCTACTTTCTTTCTATACTCATATGGTACTGATTTTTTGAAATGTTGCTTTTTCACATTGCATCATGTCATGTATTCAACGAACGAATTCAAGAGCTATCAGACAGAAATCATCGCGATTTTTCAAATGCTAGATCTACTGTCGATGGATTTCTGGAATAAATTCAGAGTGAACATTCATCATTAATTATACATTGTTAATCCTTATATATATACATATATATATTTCAAAATAAAATACTTATTGTAAATACCATCAAATAAATCAAATATACGTCTCAAATCTCGGAAAGCAGAACGAAGAATTTCAATGAGTATAATAAAAAGAAATTATGCAGTTACTAGTAAGATACACTATCTGTAACTCATTACTCTATATTGACAAATATCAAGATCATACAATCTCTGTCATACGATTCAGTCATCTGTATATTTTTTTTTTATTGCGCACATCAATAATGAAAAGAATCGTGTGAAATAAAACTAATCATTCATATATCTAGAGTGCACTCTCTTTTTTCTTTTATCATATTTTGCCTTTCGCATCTTTATCACATATGACGTTCTACGAAAAAAACATAACCTTATAATAAACAGGAGTGCAAAACTCAGATTTTTTTTTGTTTACTATAAAATAATTTTTAGAGTTCGACGAGCTGAACTGCTATTGTATTGTTTGTTCATTTTAATAAACATTCACATTATTAAAGACAAAATTGGAGATATAATGAAAGAAATATAGACTTGAATTCATTCTATCTTATATATTCATCTTGATGAATTGATAAAATTCAAAACGATTACAAAATATACATTGAAGCGAAAAATAATCTCGTGACTTTTAGAATTTATAATACAAATGAATCTAATATCTTTTCATTTATTCTTTTGCTTGTATTAACATGAGTGAATTACCATTTGTTGTATGTATGATATTAATTCGTCTTAACTACAATGGGTTTCATCTGAAATCACTTTGCATGCTTTTATTTCACAGTACGTCCGCAACTGGAATCTAACAAAGAGAAAATATAGCGAGTACAGAAACATTTTTTGAGAGTGGAAAAGTACATATACAATTTTTAAAGCATGGAAGCTGCTGAACTTTCTCTGTTTCATTTTTCGATCGTTTTTTGATTAAAAAAAATCAATTTTGGCTGGATAAAAAAAACTGAAAGTTTTCTAAATGTGGATGTGTGTACTCCCACTTTTCGTAAATGATACGTGTCTGAAACTTGTGTCCTATCCAATCATATATAAACTTCAAAGTAAGAAGAATTGTAATGATATAAATGAATTGAGTAGAAATGAATCATAACTGTATTAATTAAGTCGAAAACGAACGAACTGATACTTTTATTAACATGCACATACAAAATATTTTATTCACTAATTTGCGATCTATATCAGACTATTATAATTAATGATAAGTGAAGTCATTTTACTTAAATTGTTTATATTTCACATAATTGTTTATTAAGATACACTAACATTGAGATCTTATAAGTAATAGTTCCAAAACAAGTCTGTTGAAAAAATCACCACTATTCAGATTCGTCTTTTCGAATTGTTTTCCTTCTCAAATAAGTAGTCTACTGTCGATGCATGAAACAATTACTGCTAAATTTTATGAACTGATATCAAAACTAAAAAAAAACACTCTTGAAATCCCCATGGTTTCTATTATAAATATAGTTGTTTATCACCATTGATAGTAACAAGTATCACTTCTTTCTTTCATCTGAAAGTTGTTGAGCTTCAAGGTCTATTTTCTTCATTTATCTAACTATTACATTCTTAAGATAAATGTTATATATATATGTATAGTTTTATTATTTTGATTCTTTTAATAACCTTTACCTTTGCATATGTCAAATAGTATCAATATTATTCGAAAATCGTTTTGGCAAATGACGTTCGTATTATCTAATTGGATACTCATATTGAAGTTGTGTGAGAAAATATCAAAATCTCAAAGAATAATTTCAATCTAATCTTCGATATCAGTTCACCGAATAATATAAGTGTTCTAATCTGTTGTGTTGAAAATAACATTGTTCCAATAGATTTTCTTTGCATCAAATTTTAATCAGAATGAAATTAACAAAAGATTAATATTTATATCATTTGGTATACTTGAACAAAAAAGTATCATATCTAAAATTATTCCTCAATATATATATGGATTTAGTTTTCTTTTTTAAATATCTTTTGCAGTTATGTTGTAGATATAAGGGATTAGACATTTGAACATAAATATGGTACTTTTATGAAAATATTAGATCATGAAGTGCATCTTCTTTTTTCATCGGATTCGTGAAACTTCAAATAGTATTATCATTTTTGACATAACGTTTTATGTTATTACGTGATAGACAAAGCATGGAGATATGTTTTGTGTCGGCTCAAACATTGAAAAATCAAGTGAATGCAACAGTTACATTACGATCTTCATTGTTGATTCGTTTTTTATCACTTAACGGTGTTAATAATTTCATAGAACAAGCACACAATCTGTAATAATCAAAATGTAACTAGAACAAAATCAAATCTGATGAAATAAGTTAGAGATAATGAAACATACTGCCAATATAATGTTTTATTTTAACATATATTTTAATTATAAAGTAATAAAGTATCTAAGAATAAAATAGATTTTTTATAATATATTTGAAATTAATCAATTTAATTTGCTTTTGTTAGAAAGCGAATTTTTGAAGAATTGATTATAGACTATTTAAAATAATCTTGTGAAAATATCATTTTTATCTCATATCGATATAATTTATTTTAATAAAAAGTCTTTTCTCTCTCGAATTATTTTTTATAAAGTTTCTACATGATACGTTTTGATATAATAAAGATTTATTACTATAAACTAAATCAAAATAAAGGACACCATTCATTCTAAATGTATATTTCATTATCGTGACGCATCGTAATGGTATAATCATTTTTAGCAATTTATTATAGAATATAACATGTATTTTGTTACTATTATTTTACAAATATAAATTTCTATTACTTTTCTTTGAATTAAATTTGTTGGTTTTGAATGAAACTGTAAAAATCTCAGTCACTATTGCCTGCATGTATTCATGTATTTTACAAATTTTGAAACGATATTTCTTTCAAAATGAATGAAACTTAATAAAAAGAGCCACAATTTGTAGGATGTCTGATGAAGTATCATCACTGGAAGATTTTGTAACGACAGAAACACTTCAAAGATATACAATTTAAAGTCCCGTATTCATAGATTCTTTCTATATAATGTTATCATTGAAAAACGAGAGGATAAAACCAGCAAAGAAAGAAAAAAACATTTGTCAATACTATGGATTAGTTATTTTTTTGCCTTGTAAGAATATCTTTTATATGAAGTAGATAGCTTTCTTGACAATGCCTTAGATATAAATAGATAAATCGTTTGGAAAATTATCATAATATTGAAGTAAAACGTTCCATCAGAGTATTATATTATTGGATTCGATAACTAAATATTTCCTACTGAGATGTGTTTTGCATTTGACTGTCAAAGTAAGTACACCAACTCTAACTCAATCCCACGTTAAAGTATTGCAATATATAAAAGCAAAATAAAAAAACATGTTTCTTCAATGTACGTGTATTTTCACATGACCATAAAACAGGATACGGATGAATGAGCAGCTCTAACAAACAGTGGGGATATTTTAATGTGAATACACACCTGTATATATAAAAATTGACTAAAAGTCACACAAACAAGGAATAGAAACAAGTAAGTATATTTTGTTTACTAAAAATCATAAATTTTTGGGAGCTAGCACGTTGTGTATTACTTCATAACATATGTTACGCTTTTTTTTTTGAAATAAATTTGTTGTATGCTGTGAAAAAAATGAATAGTTTTCGTTTACGTGTAACATCAATTACGTAAATCAATTTTGTCTTTTTTTCTTTTCAGGGCCATCATCATCTTTAAACATAATCGATAGCTTTTCTTGAAAGTTAACTTAATGACAGCGAACGATTACGGACATATTAGTAAGTTATTGAAATTTATAGACTTTGATTCATAGCTTTTCTGCTAGATAATCTTGGCAGAGCACATACAAATGCACTTAAACAAGGATGGATCGGTTTGATCGAAGCTATAAGCAAAGAAACATCATTACAAGATAATCAAATAGCTGATTCTGTCTATGGAGATGAATTATTTCGTGCTATTGGCTATGATAATCCAGATGTACTTTTACTTCGATGGCTTCGTTCTCGTAAATGGAATGTTAAAGCTGCTGTTAATCAAATAATAGAGACACTTAAGTGGCGACATGACTGGGGTGTTCAAGAACTTGTCGCTAATGGTGAAAGAGCTATTTCTCAAGAAGAAATAGCAACAGGTAAGACTTATTTCATGGGTCATGATAGAGTAGGTCGGCCAGTTTGTTGCATCCATCCAAAAGAACATATCAAAGGTCAATTTCCTCACGAATATAGTGAAAAATTAAGTGTCTTTTGTGTTGAAACCTATCGTAAGCTGCTGCAACCACCAATGGAATCTGTAACAGTCGTTTTTGATATGGCTGGTTGTGAAGCGAAAAACATGGATCTTCATCAGATTAAATTTCTTATTACTCTACTTGACAACTATTATCCAGATTCACTGGGTCAAATACTTATTCTTAACTTTCCTTGGATATTAGGCAAAAGTTGGACTATAATTAAAGGTTGGTTAAATCCAACTGTGCAAAAGAAAGTACGATTTATTCAAAGTGAAGAAGAATTGAACGAATTAATTGATCTATCAGTTCTTCCTAAAAGATTGTATGGTGCTCAACCAGATTTTAAATACATTTCATCGACTGCTGAAGATGAAGCTATGTTTAATGTTTTTCGAGCTGATGCACAAGGCAAAGCAATTGCTGAAGCAGAACATCGGGATGCTGTTCGACATTATTTGAATATTACGTTACAATGGGCTAATGGCAATGAAAGTCATCATATATTATTAGAAAGAAAAAAGGCTCGAAAACAACTTAAACATGCATTTGAACAACTTTCTCCTTATATTAGTACTCGTACTCATTATCATCGTGTTGGAGTAATCAAAGAACCTATTTTTCAAATTACATATGATAAACTTGTGCATGGTAAAGAGGAGTCAAGTATAACATTCTTTTAAACTTACTCACTATTTTTATCTAACAATGTCTATCATAATATTTCAGAATATGAAGAACACTAATTATATGTATTTAATAAAAACAAATCATATTCGTTCATAATGGAGGCAAAAAATGTTTGAGTCAATAATTGCTTCCATTAGAAGATAAAGATAATATTGACAATACGGACAAGTAGAATTCTTTTTTTGACGCAATACTTTTAGATTAACTAAAGTTTTTAAGTGAGATTGTATACAATACATTGCTGGAATGTTTTGAATTTTATTGTTTCATTTTCACAACAAAAAGAAAGTAGCTTAATTCGAACAGAGAGAAAATTCTCAACTCAAAACATAAAGGTTGATACACGCTTGAGCTCATCAAAATTAATTGCATAACTTTCTTCCTTTTTTCTTATCAAGTTATTGATAATAAATTCTAAAGTATTTTTATGATCTAAGTAGAAAAAGAAATAAGCTAATCGAATGGTTTGAAGTTTTTGTTTTTTGTTTTTTCAGTTGGAAAGAACAATTTAAATGTAATATACTTTATATGACAAAAAATTTCTTCCAAGTTATATGCTTGTCCATATTTTTTCTTGCGCACTTTCGTGCATGGACATCTCTATAAGCTATTCTATGGCTTTGATGTTTACATATGAAAAATAAAGTTTCTCTCTTGTTCTCTACATGATACATTAATAATTTTTTCGAATTTTATGAAGAACTGTTCTGTTTCAATATTATTGGATCAATTAAACTCATCGAAATGAATAAATGAAAGATTCTCTGTTTCATAATATTTTAATAAATTAGTATGAATAAAAATGTGCGTAATTATATACAGGATTAATCAAAACAAAATGAAAGTATACAAACGAAATAAAAGTGAAATAAAAATAAAGTAAAGTAGATGAAATATAAGCAAGCATATATATAATTCTGATCATTTCATAAATCAAAAATAAAAATGTCTCATCTATTAAATCAAACATAAGGATCGACTTCTTGATCAAATTATCTTCAGATGTTGTTGCTGCCACGATCACACTATAGACAGTGTTATAAATGTGAATTTCAAAATGTTCGAAGGGATAAAGATCATATATGATAATTACAAACTTTATCAAAGATTATTAATATTTGTTGGTAAACAACAGTTAGATATTTTGAAGACTTGAACGTTGACAATGTGATAATATGTTTGTTATAAGTATTCGACATAAAAAGTCAGGGTTCTGTAGTATACCTGTTGTCTAATTTACTTCAAGCTTTTAGCTTATTTGAACAAATCTATTCTAATCGTAGTATAATCCAAAAGAAAAATATTGTTATTATAATATGTTCTTTTATAAAGAGTCTAGAAACATATAAAAAACGATGTAGAATAATTGATCAGCATATTCAACGTAAAATCAAAAGAGGTATCTTCAGATTGTCAAAAAAAAAAGTAAATTTATTCATCAATCGAAATTTCTATCATAACAATCCATCAAAAACTACAACCAGTAACTTATGAAAAATTATCAGAAAATTTTCTGGAAAGAAATGTATTTAGAAACGATTTGTTTCGACTGCTTTAATGGTAATTTTCGAACTATCCAATTGATATGATATTTCTGTGGTAGTAATATTGGAAATTAGATAATTTATAAGGGAAATTTACTTTTTTTTAAAAGTCTAATCACTGATGAACCAACATATGTAAACAATTGATTTTGACAAAGTTACTAAAAATGTGCTTGCTAGTGTATTTTCTTAAAGTAATATTATTACATTTGAGAAGAGGATTTCTTACAAATGAAGGTAGTTGTTGGACAATGCAACACTGAGCTGCTTAAGTTTTCCCTCTTGAACAAAATGTTATCGAAGAGTTCAATCAAAAAAAAAGGAAAATGGACCAGATATATATTAGATGATGAGCAGGAGAAAATGTTTGTATAAGTATATAAATAATTCATCTAACATGTTCAACTTTGAGATTTAACCGTATTGTCTGAAGACGATTTGATTGGTAGAGAAATATAAAAAAAAAGAAAACCGAGATAAATAAAGTCTCATTTTGCTATATCGATTTAACATTGTTTTTCAAGGATTGATTGACATTCAATTCGTATAAAAAAATTCTATTGAGAAATGATGTAAAGCTTTCTATATGCATATAAATACATCTTTTATCTCTGTTACTATCGAATATTTAATTTCTAGAGCGTTATGTATGATCATCCGAGTATTTATAAATTCATCAATGAGATTATTAGAGAAAAAGAAAATACAACTGTAGTTTCGACTACAATGCTTGTTGACACACACAAATGTGAACTAAACAAGAAAAAAAAGTACAAGAAAATAGATAGTCAGACAAAAAAAGAATGATAAAAGATTTGAACGTTTTTTCACATCAAGACTTTTCAAATGGTTAAATTAATCAATACTTGATTTACTACATATTAAATGTAGAATATTATTTTGTGTATACTTTAGTCTTTACTTGTATATGATTCTTCTTTATCATAAAAATTTATCAATAAACGACGACTCACAAGTCTTGTGACAACTATCAAATTAATATGAATCGAATAGAAAAAAAATCATATTGGACGCCAGTGACAGGAAATTAGTAATACTCAAGCGTGAAAACGTCATGCTCGGAAGCATCAATATAATGAGTTCCTGTGTACAAATTTTTTTCAATTAATTGCTTTTTGAATAAGTGCATGTTAACAAGCTAACTCAGAGTATACTTATCACTATCATAGGATGCTAAAATAATTCGAAGATAGTTTTCCTTTGAAGTATTCTAAATTCAATATCCATTGAAGTCATGCCTGTATGATTCATCAAAACTGCTCTCAAAAAGTAACATTACTCATTTGTTTACATTATCGTTTTGTCTTCGGTTATTGTTATTCTTGAAGACAATCTTTTAACATGTTAATGGTGACAGTTTTAATATTTTAGCGAAAATTTTTTTTGAAAATATCAATATCATGGAAATGAAAACGGACAAATAATGAGTTTTCTTTTTGGATCAATATAATATTTCTAATAAAAGTTTCCAAACACTTAATTGAACGATTGTTGATTAAGACTTTATGTTTTGTTTGATGACAATTTGATTTTATCGATTGAAAAGCCACAGTATAAAACATCTAAATAAGTAACAACATTGTAATCTTTATAACACAAAGCAACATTATAGATAAGTCTCTATCAAGATCATATGTCAGTCAGTGATGCCATAAAATGATACACATACGAACAAATGACAGAAAGTTTATAATACATTGTTTCAAAAGAAAAGAAATTTCGTACTTTCGCCTTATCATTTCGATAATACAATTTTTTCACTATTTAACAACAGCAAGAGTATTCAAAATTAAGTAATCATACGTACTTTATAATGGCATAATTCACAGCTATGTAACATCGGTTGAATTCTTTAGAAAACCATCAGATTGATTTCTATGCATTGACATGATACCAAGCAGTAGCCGACGATGACTCACATATAAAGGAATAATAGGTAAAAGCTTAAGTTCAAACGGATTGGACCTCTTTGGAGCGTTCACAAAATACGGTAAGACTAAATTTTCGAGCTACTTTCGGTCCAATACTTGTTTTTTGTCTCTCGTTTAAAAATGTTACAATAAGTTGGCAAAAAGGAACGATCTTCGTATAATTACCAATGTATGAATCAATTTTTTGACAAGAAACTATTATAAGATTTGACTTGACTTCTGAAAATCTAGCTTTAGGACAAGATAGATTAATCATAGATATATTCATTCCTATATTTGAATTTTGAAGGAGAGAACTTTCGACCATAACCTACCGATTGATCACTGTGTGAATGTGGTCACATCCCGCTGAAAGTGAAATTGATTTTTGTAAGATACATATTCCACCAATCTCAACTAGTGAGTTTTTATTCTTTTTTTATTTAATAAGTCATCTATTTCTTTGTAAAAGCTTTGATCGAATACTCCTAAATATTCTGTTGAATATATGCACTATACATATATTCGATAATCATAATAGTCGTCCTGTTCCATCATATCAGCCCTGTTTGATTAGTGGTTCATGATTATCTTATCGAACGAACAAAATGAAATGAGTTTCTTTTTAAAATTATGTTTGATTATAAACTATTGTTCATCACACTGACATTAAAAGACAAAATTTAAATTGTCTGTGAAATATTTAACAATGAATTTTCCTGAAGATATCATAGTTGATTATGTAATTATTATTTTAAATTGTTATGCTAGAGAAAATATTTCCGAATTCGATGAAATCAATTGAATTTCTGACAAAATTATTCATTCAAATTTTTTTCGTAATACTTATCATTTAGAAAAAAAGTCTTACATTTGAAGAATAATTCTTCTATTAGTACTTTTTATACATCTAAAAAAAAAGTCATTATTTGCTTGATTGGTTCAACTAGTACTTGTGCCTAAATACATTCGAAATATTTTTCTTTACATAATCGTAGTTTTAAAATGGCAGTTTGTTTGTTCTGGTCCACTTTTCCAACTGAAAATCGGCCGCCAATCATCAGATAATTTTTGTCTAAAGTTTAATACTTCAATTATTTTCCTCGACACTGTTTTAATTATCATTTTTATCATTGCACCTTCGATCCTTTTGTTTCATCTGAAGTTGTTAGTGCAAATGATAAACGTACTCGTCGGAATCGTATTTAAGGATTTGCAGTTGAAGACAATGCTGTTTTTAACAATTTATTCTAGAAGCAAAACAATAGTTCATGACATATGAACTCTTTCAAGGTTCTTCTATTGAAATGAAATAGCTAATCATTAAGATAGGTTATATCTGTAACTTCTAAAACTTTTTTTAAGAATGTTGTTCATCATTACCTTAATCATTTAAATGCTACAAATTTTTGTGAATGAAAAATAAAATTTTACCTTTATAATATATGAGTAATTTAGAAATATCCTCGTAAATACAGTTTATAACTTTTTTCCTGATCGCAAAGAAACTTATTTTAAAAAAATTTATATATTAAATCGTTTTTTTTTTCTTTCATTCTGTGTTAAAATGAACTTTGTTTCGTACAGTATGTTATATAACCTTGTTTGAGAAATGCATATAGATTTGCTCGTTACTTTTTGTTTGTTTTTGTTGCTTGTCATTGTGTATGATAAAATTTTTTTTTCTTGATTTGAGAGAAAGAAAGAAAAATAAAAAGTTTCGTGCCATTTTTACTTTCATCGTTTCATTGTACAAATCAGAACATCAAGGATAAAGTAAGAAATTAGGAGTATTTGTTTTATCTATCCATACGTATGTATATGTATATGTTGTTGTATCATATTTTAAGGTGCAGCCACTGTCCATTGATATCTCATTCTCTCCAGCGAATAAATATTATGGATGATTTAATCCAAAGCACATACATATGTTGTATTACATTATAGTGTCTACATATTTAACCATTTGATTGAGCAAAAAACATAAAGATTTTCTGTTTTCTTATTCCGACATGGTCCATTTTTGTTTAATATATTTACGTAATACACAAATTATGAAAGAAGCTAATTGATCGAAATGTATGTTTCTCATATGAATGGATGTGGCATACGAACAAAACTTATAATAGTCTACATACTTATTCTTTTTTGATAAAGAAAATTTGATTATTTATATTGTTGGTTTATACTGAAAGTGCTATTAAATTTGTTTAAAATAAAAATATGTATTTTTAAAGAGATATTTTGAAAGATCTTTGAAGAAAATCTGAGTTTTTTTTGATAATTTTCATATGAAGTTGAATTTTGAATTCTTATTGAAACATCACTATCTGAAAAACTAAAGTAACAAATTTAAAAAAAAGAACTTAGTCAATTGAAAAAATCTTCTATCATGAAAAACAAAGTAGCTTTCGAAGTATTTGATGAAATCTATTTGATTAAGTAGGAAAAATTCTTCAAAAAATTGTATCTATGATCTTGATATTTTCGCATTTAACGATAGATTAATTTTGCTTCAATTAACTTGTGTATCGAAAATCTTGGCGAAGAATGTTTGTTTAAATCCAAACTATTTATAAGCAAGTGTTAAAAGTCAAAAGTAGTTAAATTAAAATCAAAATTTTAGATGTGGGTATCGCAATGAATACAGAGAATGCTTATCTATGTACACACTCTTATTCACACATACATCTCTTCAGGTAACATTAGTTTCTGTTGAATATTGAATCGATATTCAACTAATATATATCGGTTTATATGCTACAAAATTTTTCATCATCAAGGAATTAACTATTATTGGTATTGCCGAAGCTGTTCATGTTACCTATGAATTGGACATACTATCTGATGCACTTCTTACATATCAGTATTTGATATTTACAACCATCTGTTCTATGATTCGACTCTTTAACTATGTTTACGTTTTTCTAAACGTCTATCCATATACTAGTAGTTGTTTTTGAACCCTGATATTATTCTAGTTTACCACCAAATAGTACTACTTATGGCTCTGCTAATCGTGCATTATCCTTGTTCTAAAAACCGATATTTTGTCATGGTAATAAATTTATAGTCATACTTTTGCATTTTCTTAACATAAAGACTTCGTCTTCGTACAATAAATTATTCATCAAAGATCGATATAGAACCTAGTCTTTTATGTCCATTTGATTTCTTGTTATGAAAACGAAAAAAAACGCATTCAGAATGAGAATGATGTGACTGTACAATAAAGATATGATAGAATGGATAAAATCCTATGGTGTCCAAAATATATACTGAGAACGAGATGTTTATAAATTAGATGTAAAGTAATTTTAACACAATGATTATAAGAATATACTTAAAAACTCTTGTTTCTAGTAACATATAGATCTCAAACAGTAACAGATCATTAGCATTATATATAGTTTAAAAATTTATTTGTTCTTTCAAATAGACAAAAAAAAATATTGATCATACAAATCTCTTCCAATTAAGTCATGAAATAATTAAATATTAATTCGAACTTTGTAAAAAGATACCTAGGTACTTGTACTCGGTAAATAAAGCAAAAACAAAAACGATAAAATGACAAGATTTGTTGAAATGAAACCATTGGTTCGAATGCAAACGGTATCTTTCAGAAGACATCGTTTTGGATGGATTTAAGGAGAAAGTTTGCTTTTTTAATCTTTTCTATTTTCGTATACATCATAAAATATAAGCAAACACATCTCTACAATAAATACAGGTTGTTTCTGTTGTCTTTTCTTTTCTGTTGGTTGATAAAACTATTAAGACAATGACACTAGCAGAGTAAAAGGCAAAAAAAGAACTAAGATGGCATGTGTCTTTTTTTTTTGTATTGTAGTTTATCCACTGAAACTGACTATATTAACGAAACAACAGAAGATGTGCAGAATGAAAATTGAATTTTAATCTTTCTTTCTTTCTTTTCGACGTGTTTATTGTCAACTCAATATTTAATGACATTCAGTAATGATATAAAGCTTTATATCTTACCTTGAGAGAGAAAAGAGCATAGATATTTCACATACATTTTTGTCATTTATTTCTTTTCTTGTGAAGCTTATCTTTCAATAGAAAGAAAAAAAAAAGATCGTGTCTTGGTTAAGCATTTTATTATATCTTGTGTTTCAACATACGTACATAATTCATTTTTCAAGGATATCAATTGGTGATGACTTCGTCAAACAATCAAAACTTAAAGCATTTAGCTGATACAGTTGATAAACTTGTCGGACGATTATCATCTATTCAACCGTCTTCTCTTGAACAACTTGAACAATGGCGTGAGGCAGCTTATCGATCTGTTGATCATTATTGTGAACAAAAACGTTATCAATTAATTGAAACGAGACAAGCTCATCAAAAGAAAGAACTTGAACAAATTCGACAAAAAGTAAATCATTTAATTGAAAAACATGATGATAGACAAGATCATTATGATACCATTCATCATGATATCCAATTGGCTGAAGTTAAAATTAATGAACTTGAACATCTCCGATTAAACACTCATCCATTGTCGATTGATGAACATCTTATAACTCGACGGCATTTATTTCCTTTACCTCATCCATCTCGAACAATTCATTTAAAAGCTGGTTTAGAAAGTGCTGTTGGTACTAATGATAAACATCTTCTTGTCGATCGTGAAGGTAAACATTTATGTTTACTTGATCGAAATTTAACTATTGTCAATGAAGTTCCATTTACTCATGATGGTATACATAGTGTATTTTGGTCATCAACAATTGCTCGATTTATAATTATTACTTTTAAAGAAATTTTATTACTTGACGAGAAAACGATGAAACTCGATCAATGTCCTATTTCATCTGTAGCAGATTGGTGGCGTGGTACCACATCGGAAGATACTCTATTCTTAACGACAGTAGAATGGGGTTCATCAATTTATGAATTTAATCTTCGATCATCATTTAAAGCTGGCAAGGAATGGCATGTACCTGTTACTTGTAAAAAAGAAGAGATTATTTGTGATATTAAGTACAATAGTGGTTTTCTTGCTACTCCAATTTTTAACAAACATAAAGAAGATACTCGTTTTGAACTACGCTCAGCAACAACACTTGAATGTATCTGGTCAATTCGTGCTCATGGACGTTGTCGTTGTTGTTCAATCGATGTAGATCAATGGTTGTTAATGGATCATGATGATTGTCGATTCTTTCATATTTCAGCTGATGGAAAACTTTTAGAAGCCGACAAATATGATCAACATGACCGACTCGAAGATATTATACCATGGGGCCAAGATAGCATTGTTGTTTTAACTAAGAAAAGTATCAACTTACATGCACTTAACTAAAATAAATTGGTACAAACAAATCTTCTAAACAATAAGACTATATTTTAAAAAAATACTTTCTAAAATAAATTGCAAATCATAAATCTTTTGTTATAAAACGTTACACATATATTGTTTTTATCGTGTTTTTGATAATGAGAAATATTAATGAGAATAAATGCTCTTATGAGAAATAATCAATAGATTCGTCTTAGTATCACAGAGTTTAGATTTAAAAACTTTTAAGTCGAATAACTGTTGGGTAGAGCTATTAATATACTGTACTCAATGTGTAAAGTCTCAATTGTAGAAAAAAGTATTAATGAATTCCTTTTTTTTTAATTTCAATAATTTTTATCTACTATAATTAGACTAAATGAAATTACACACAGCATCTATAGATGATTTTTATAAATATTAAGATTATATAAAGTCTAATGTTTAGACAATAGTATGGTATTCATTTCATTATCGAAACATAAAAAGAATAAGTTGAATACAAATTAGACATTGCATTGAGCTAGCACAAAAACCATAGTTTCTTCTAAAAATCGTTTTATCAAAAGCTTCGGTTTTTCTATCATTATAAGTATCAAATATTACAATCGAAAGTTACGAGATGTTCTTGATTCTCAATAAGTTAAATATATTTTTTCTTACAAAAGGTATTTATTTTGATAAGGTATCATAATCAACTACAAAAAATATTTCAATAAAATTTTTTTGTCAATATCTACGTCACAGATATTTTGATGTACCGATAAAAAGTTGAATTGATGGATATGCCTATCCGTTACAACGAACAAAATTCCTAAATGATAGACTGATATCACAGTGAGCATGTTACCATGTAGAAAAATCACATACACAGTAGTATCATCAGCGTTGATACCATCGTAGACAGTAATAACATGTATACTAGCACGTTGTATCTCAATAAAGAGAGCAATTATTACTTTATAATACGATTAAAAAAAAACTAGTGTTTATTTAAGCAAACGAGGTTTATTATTTATAAACGTCAGTAATGCTTGTACTATTCATAGCATATGTTAAAATATGTTTCTTTTTTTTATGGTAAAAATGTCGGCGACTATTTATTTAAGTTACTGATGTTAGGATATGAGAGCCAGTAAGAACTTATAAAAAGCTAAAATAACTCTTCGTGTCGTTGTTGTTATAGTTTGTTATTGTCTGGTGTATAGTAGATTGAAAAGCATTTAATATTTGAATATCTTCTAGTATATAAATAGTCTTTATTTGGATTTTTCTCTTTCAACAAATATTATTACTTTTGGCTAAATCGTATTTTTTTTTCGTCAATTTCAAAGCATTTTTCTTTCAAATATTATCTATATTTACTGTTGATCATTGTATGTAACAGACGATTCTGATCGTTCATAAATCAAGAATTTCATTGTTTTCCGTTTTGTATCCTATAAATAATGAAAAAAATAGATAACATATTGTTGCTTAATACATTTTTTTTCTAAAACGTAAAAAATAATGTAATCAGCTTCAAATTAAGATTTGTTCTATTCTCCATGCCTGCTGGACAAATGTACAAATTCTCACCAATGATCTTCGATTCTCCTTGATTAAGATGTATAATAAAAGATTTGACATACGCAATCTGTTCAGCATCATGTCGAAACAAAACTCCATTTTTCTTGTTCTTTTTTCACTTGTCATTGAAGTTATTTAATATTTTCAAGGAGCCTCTAGGTTTTACACACAAGGAAATTTTCATTCAATGATAAATTATTTTTGAGATGAGGCTTAGGTCATTAAATAGAACCTATTGAAATTAAAGAGATCCTAAATATGATCGTACTTATGTGTCTATCTGCTTCAATGATGACTATTTTTAGTGAGTTTTTCAACAGGACATCTTGTTTCGTCCTAGTTAATCTTATAATACACTCTCTATTATCAAGTTTTAAGTTTTTTCGAATAAAACTCTGAAAAGATCTAATGCATCGTGAAAGTATCAGGCTTTCTGATAATTCCGCTCCTGAAATTCAAATATAAGAACAAAGGTGACTTCATCGTATAAGAGAATCGTTCATATTGTAGTCTTAGAATGAAATATACTATAAAATGTAACCCTTCCACCATGAACTGGTTCTATTGACATACTTTATTTGTGAAGACGTTAAACTCAATAGTCGATTTTAAAGGTGATCTTTAGTGACCGATGATATTTTGTTGAAAAACACACTATAACCGTCATAACTCAAGGAGAAAGATCCGTAGACACGGATTCCTATAGGCTTACTTTAATTTCATTAGAGTCGATCTAATGAGGTAAAATTCATCTTGAAAAGCGATTGATCACATGGAAAGTTCACCTTATCAATAGATGTCTATCTATAATTCATCTTTTATATGGAGTGCTTGAATAAGTACTATGGTCTGCGACTGAACAAAAGTCATTATAGAGCTCACTTATCAAGCATGAACCAATCTTTGATGTGAATTGTGCTGTAGACAGGAGAAGATATTGATTCTATCTTGTCATTTGCATTAATCAAGTGAGCAATGTATTATAGAAAATGAATCCTGTTTGCTTTCAATTAACAAGATTCATTATGACTTCAGTGATTGTCTTATAGTATAGTGATTTTTCCACGATTAACAGTTACATAATACATATTGTTTTTGTTAAAAAGTTCTATGTCGATCAACTGACATAAAACAATCAAGAAATTTTTATATATTTTTCAAAATAGTTGACAATAGTCGAATTTCAGCTATATTTACAAGGTTTGATATTTTATATAGATCGTCGATGGTACATACCTCTTGTGTGGCTCGTATGTTTAATAAAGCACAGTTTTGTATAAATAAAATTTGAATAGGAACATATCCGAGAAGTTTCATTTTATAATCTTACTCGATTTCGTGACAGAGCTCAATTGCTAGAAAATAATAATATGAAACTGATTGAATAAATATAGTTGGAAGTAACAAGACTAATTCTTGATTCTATGTATGTTTTTGATAAACTTTTTCTATGATTAAAAGATTAGCATCAACAAACGAATAAGATATATATATATACATATGTACGATTGTCTGCCTATCACCACCTTTCTTTGTTTTTATTCTTCACACATAGCATTCTATTTTGATATGATTACATCGAACATTAAACACGTTTCTTTTTTTCTCTTTCTTGTTTGCGTGATAGTAAATGTAATCAGTTCATCATCAGCGACTGTAATGACAACTACTGGCGAAAATGATAACAATAGAAGTATGACAACAAGTAAAATATGTTCTATGTTTCTTTAATATAATTCAATGAATTAGTTAAAAATATATTCAAAATAAGATTTGAGAAAAAATAAAAATATATTCTTAAAATTACTGTTAATTGCGTTTTGTTATTACAATAGAAACAATTAGTTTTGTTTTTTTTTTCGAACAAAACATGTATTATACCTCCTATAATGATATTTCAAAATCATTTTTAATGTGTTTTAACTAAACATAAAAACATGTTTTTTTTTTTGATAATATTATTTAGACTTATCATCATTACGTCGTCGTTTTGCTTCTCTTGCTCTTTCATGTATTCATCGTGAATATCCAAACAAAATTGCTCATGTTCTTACATCTGATGCAGATGTTCAAGCTCCACGTCATTTAACACCTGTCTTTTTTGGTTGCTTTGATTGGCATTCAGCTGTTCATGGACATTGGCTTTTAGCTCGTCTTGGTCGTATTGATAAAAATCTTACTGGTGAATGTCGTCAAGCACTTCGACAAAGTTTAACAAAAGAAAAACTTCAAGGTGAAGTAAAATATTTAAGTGGCGAGCAGCGTCAAGCATTTGAACGACCTTATGGTTTAGCATGGCTATTACAATTGGTTATGGAATTAGATGAATGGGCACAAGAAGAACAAGAAGTTTGCTATTGTTTAACTAGAAAGAAAGAAAATAAAAAATTTTTATTTTTATAGAGTTCTGAAGAAATTATTCAATGGCGTGAAAATATTCGTTCACTTGAATCAATTGTTGTTAATCGTTTATCTACATGGCTTCCAAAATTATCATATCCTGTTCGTAGTGGTGAACATAGTCAAACAGCTTTTGCTCTTGGTCTATCTCTTGATTATGCTCGTCATGTAAACAATTCAATATTTGCAAAACTTATTGAACAACATTCATTAAGATTCTTTTCTTCAGACAAACTCTATCCATTTTCTTATGAACCATCAGGTGAAGACTTTCTATCGGCTGGTCTTGCTGAAGCTGATTTAATGCGACGTGTTATGTACATGAATAATCATGAATTTTTTCAATGGTTTAATGAATTTTTACCTCATACAAATCTACCAAAAAGTCTCGAACCACCAGCCATTGCTGATCCAACTGATCCAAAATTAATTCATTTAGCTGGATTATGTCTTAGTCGAGCATGGATGTTAGAAGGAATTGTTGAAGCATTGCCAGAAAATACTGAACAACGAAATCAATTGTATGAATTAAGTAAAAGAAATGCTCAAGCAGGTTTAACAGCTATCGACGAAAGTCATTATGAAGGAGGACATTGGCTTGGCACTTTTGCTGTGTATTTGATAACACGACGAGGAATTAATTCAAATGAAATGAATAAATCATAGTTATGTAGAAAAAGACATATTATCATTAAGCCTAGATTTGTTTTTCAATCGATATTGAACATTCATTATTATCATTCATTGAATAATATAATAAAGTTCATCATTTTCTTTTCGAACATATAACTAGCTGCAAGTTTCTATTTTTATTGATAAGAATTTATTAAAAAGTAGCCATAAAATACTCTGATTGACCATTAGTTCTAATAAAATATTTAACATGAAGGTTTTATTATTTATAAGTGTATATGAAAAGCAAAGTAATACAAATAATTAGGTTATATGATAGCACTATATATTAACCTTACAAACATCAGAATAATCAGTCTATGTGGAGAAATAAAAGACAAAGAACTGAAATTTTTTACTTTTTTGAAAACACATCGCAATTCAACTCATAGATTTTAGTAAAGAAATGATGAAAAGAAGTTTTTTTTTCGAATTTTGAGCTTATGGAAGGTTTTACATAGTGTATAGGAATCGTTTTAATTCGATGCTTTAAATATTCCAAATAGATAATTTCTACGAATTGATCAAACATCGTCCAACAAGATATAAAGGATTACACAATCGACCAATAATGAATTAAATGTGAATTGATACTATTCATCTGTTTTATGTATACCAGTAGACGGATACTCGGAATATATATATATATGAAACTATAAATCTCATTTTAATTGATCCTGAGAACATACAAAAAAATCAATCAAAGACACTGTATCATACTAAGTGAGCTGTGTTTTTAGAAGATCTCTATAATTTTCTTTTTAAATTTCCATTAACTGTGTCTGACTTTTATACGAAGACATATCCTTCAATCTGCTATTACAAATGATAAAAGTCACAAATTGATGGCTATTTAAATTCTTCAATTATTCAAAAAGAAAATGATAAAGCATGTGAGATTTTTTGAAAAGATTATTATATCTATTCAGAAACAGCAAGTAACATAGGTTTTTTTTTCGTATCTATTTTTTTAGCATGCAGTCGGATTAAATTGATCTCCCCTATAATTTGTGTATTTGTTTTTTTGACGTGTTGGATCGCGTGAGCTTAATAGCAGAAAAATCTTTGAACCGCCTTTGTGTGTTATCTGGAAAATCTCAAGCTGGATTATATACACTAGATATTATCTTTGAAAAGAAGCGATCATCCAAGTCGAATATATATGTATTATGAATGATTTAAATAATACTTGATTACCGATGCACATATAAAATATAATGTAAAATATAAAAAAGAATCACACTCTATCTTAATTCATATTCTTTGTATGTGAATGAGAATTATTCAGCATGTCGTCCAACTCGTCGATTATTAACGTTGATATCGGTCCTGATGATCCTCTATTTTGGCGTCTGCCAACACCTGGTAATTGCAAAACAATACGAATTGTTGGCATATTCTTATGTCTTGCTGCTTATACTGGTTTTGTTCTCAATGGCTCTCTTCTTGCGAGTTTTATTCGACATAAAGCACTGCGTACACCACCCAATATTTTCATTATGTTTATGTCGGCCGTTGGTGTTTTTGCTTGTTGTGCTAATCTTCCACTATCGGGTACTTCATCAATATTTTGTTACTGGTTATACAATCGTGCCGGATGTCAAGTAGAAGGTTTTGCTGCATTTCTTTATGGATGTTCGAGTTGTTATCTACTCTGCACAGTAAGTCTTAGTCGATGTTACATCGTTATAAGACCATTCAATGCCAAAGATGTTACTGTAAGTGTATTTTTTTTTTCAGAAAAGAAAAAGAAAATTCTAAACACTTTAGGTTATGAAATGCATTATTATTGCTGTCACGGCTGTATTGCTTGCAGTTATTGTGACTATATTACCACTTGTTGGATGGAATGAATATACTTTGGAAGTTAGTATAGTCTTATCTGGCAGTTTTCCTACTGAATTATTTGCCTTAGTGTGTACAGTAAAAATTATTCGACTTTTTTTCCCTATGATAATTTGTGTTTCTAATTTTTGCAAATTAAGATTTACTTTGAAATTTATTCTAATAATGAAAATCAATATTTTATTTTTTAACTCTTTATAGGTAACTCGTACATCATGTTGTACGAATTTGTTTGACCGACGCACTTCATACATTTCGTATAATTTGTTTATTTTTGTGGTTGTTTATTGTTTACCGTTGGCTATTCTTGTCACATCAAATACGATTATTTTCATAGGACTTAGACGTATGCGTGAAAAACTTGCACATGGTGCCAAAGCGGAATTAAGTCAAAAACGAATTGAAATGGAACGACGTATTCTGAAAAGTAAGATAGAAAAACTAAGATCATAAGTTATTTACTAGCTTCCTTAAGATTTATATACTAAAAGATAAAAGACTTACAAACCAAAAAAAAAAAAAATTTAAGCTATGTGTAGTATTTTGTTCATAGGTGTTATAATCACGGTATTTGGTTTTGTTTTCACCTGGACACCATATGCGGTAACATTCTTCATTTCAGCATTCAGTAAAAGTAATTATGCTCCACCACTCATGGCTACATTTATTTGTGCTTGCTTTGCTAAAACATCTGTTATGTGGATTCCATTGCTTTACATGAGTACATCTACTCAATTTCGATTAAGTTTGGTAGATACTTCCGCATTTGACAAATTATCTGCAACTACTACTGCTGCAGGAGAAGGATCAAAGGTAGTTACTGCAGCTCGTCAACCTGAAAAAAAAGCAGTATCTCCCGATAATGTATCCTCTGACAAAGAAATTG